CTGAAGACTGAAAAATTAAGCTTTGCCATCACAGGAATAAATTACATTTGAAAATATATTAAAATAAAAAAACGGATACTTTAAACTGGAAAAATATTTTACAGTATTATTGTTTTGTTAAATTTTTGATCAAATAAATGCAGCCTCGGTGAGACTTCTTTCAAACACATTAAAAATATTAAGAATCCGAATGACAGTGTAGCTTCATTTTTGCTGGTAATTAAAGCTGAAATAGGTCAAATTCTTCTAGCCCAGCTTAATATGCATTGACAACAATATGTCAATGTCCCCAAAACATTTAAACACTGTAGTGCTATCAAAACTTTGCTTTGTTTGGATTATGACCGACACAACATAGCAAGGCTGATACAACCAGTGGTGTAAGTTTGGAGCAGGACTGAGTTTAGCAAGCACTGGCAGACAAGCGTGTTTTTAAGAAACCTGTTTGAAAGCAGTCACTATTTTTTCTCTTCTAACTTGTGTTGCTAGTAGCACAGAAATTATTCACTTCAGCTTTAAGACGCACATTTCAGCTAAAAACGTAAGCGGAGCAGAAAAATAAAAACATTGATGTTAAACTGGTGTGACTTGTATCATGTCTAGAGTAAATGCATGAAGTTCACCGTTCAATCATCTGTCATTCTTTCTGTGAAAACTTAAGAGTTTAATATCTGCACCTTGATAGAGGGGAGTTTGCTGGGCTTGGAGTCTGATCTTCACTACATCCAATGGTGTGACTGCAGGGAGAGAGAGGGACAAAGAGAAAAAGAATAATTTTGTCTTAATTAAAAAAAAAAAGTTAGCATTTTGATTCCATCTATAAAGTATAATGCTTGCACAAGCACAAAGCTTCCAATGTCAAATTAAACTATAAAACTGTCAACCCTACTTTATGAACAATTATATTCCCTACATTCAGTATCATTCCAAAGTTTGGTGTCAGTAATGTTTTTGAAAGAAGTTTCTTATGCTCACCAAAGCGACATTCATTTGATCAAAAATACAATAAAAAATGAAATATTACAATTTACAATTCAAAAACATTTCTTATTATCATTTCTGATCAATTTTTGGTCACTTCTGATCAATTTTATGCATCCTTGATGACTTCTTTTTTTTAAACCGACTGACCCCATACTTGAAGGGTAGTGCATGTATGTTAAAAAGAATCATGCACATTATTTTTGGTATTTCTGCAAACACACAAAAAAGAAAACATTATGCTAAAATCAGACAAATGCAGCAAGTGATATCACAAACATGTTCAGAATTTCTACTGAATAGAGATATGATTGTGCTGATTCTTCTCACCAAAAAGAGATGTTAGTACAGCCCCAGTGCCAGACGCCAGCATCTGCTGCATGGGTGTAATAGCAGCCGAGGGCCTGACCGCGGGCCCTTCCCCCATCCTGCCGGCCCACCTGAGAAACACAACAGAGCGCTCATGTTATACACACATGTTTAGCTTACATTTATTTTCATGGTCCTGTTTTATAGCTCCCATCATCAGGGAGACCTGCTGATCTTCTGAGTCCTCTGAATAACAACGTAATGTCATCTGCTACATTCATGCAAAAATGTATTCAGATCTTAAGAGAAAGCAACCGCTAGAGGCGGTGATGATCATAATGGCTAAGCAATAGTGTACTGATATCTTATCTATTGAGCACAGAGCCTCCCCTTAGCCTATACTACACCCCTGCAGAGGCCAGTAAACTACCTTATAAGAAACAATTTAGCATGAGACTTTGACCGACACCAAGAGTGCAGCCCGGATGCATTAACCATGCAGTGTGTTCAGTGTCGAAGATTTGGGTAGACTTACAGGGATATTCATTCAAAAATGTAAATTCTGTCATCATCTGCTCACCCTCACGTTTCAAGCCTGTATGACTATTTTCCACTGAACATAAAAGAAGATATTTTGAAAAGTCTTGGTGACAAACAGTTTCGGTTCGCATGGACTTTCATTGTATGGGGGGGGAAGAAAATGAATCAAAACTGTTTGCTCGTCAACATACTTTAAAATCTCTTCTTTTATGTTACAGAGACTCCTACACAAGACATAAGGAAATAGCAGCATACTAGTAGAGGGGAAAAAACAGCAACACTTGACTGGAGAATTGTAATCATTAGACTGGTATTACCTCCTACAGTACTGACAAAAATGCAAAAGCTAGAGCAAATCACAGCTTTAGGCTACTGACACAGAAAGGAAAATCCATATGCAACTAACTAAAAGATGAACAGAGCAGATATTACTCATCAGGGAGCACAATGTCGATCTTCATGTTGCCCTGATGCATTTATGAAGTACAGGAGGCTGCTGCTAATACGCAGTCATACATTTCTGCTGCAATGCTGTATCTTTGATCAGTGCAAACACCTCAATCTATCTCATGTGTTATGGGACTCCAGAATAACAGCTGAAGTGCAGTCCATCATCTCTAGAGCTGCGAAACAAACCCCAAACAGCTCTTATCTCACTCCTTCACATCCCTTCATTGAAAATATCATCAAACACAACAACTCACAGACGATGCAATACAAATACTGCTGCATATACATAAAAACAGGATTGTTGAGACAATGACTAATTTAGAAATTATTAGTTGGAAAAAAAAACTGCATCATATCCACTTAGAAAATAATCAGAGACAAATTTATAGACCTTACTGAATCATGACAATCTTAATTCAGACAATGCCTTGCCAAATTAATGTAGTAAAAGTCCGTTAATCATAATTTTTAATCTTAAATTTTCCGTATTTTCTAATCTACATCAGAATATTTTACTAAACATTTAAGACACATTTAACATTTAAGCATCAGAGTCATGTGACCCTGGAGCACAAAGCCAGTCATAAGTAGCACAGGTATATTTGTAGCAATAGCCAACAATACATTGTATGGGTCAAAACTATCGATTTTTCTTTTATGCCGAAAATCATTAGGATATTAAGTAAATATCATGTTCCATGAAGATATTTTGTAAATTTCCTACCGTAAATATATCAAAACTTAATTTTTGATTAATAATATGCATTGCTAAGAACTTCATTTGGACAACTTTAACGGCGATTTTCTCAATATTTTGATTTTTTTGCTCCCTCAGATTCCAGATTTTCAAATAGTTGCATCTCGGCCAAATATTGTCCTATCCTAACAAACCATACATCAATGGAAAGCTTATTTATTTAGCGTTCAGACGATGTATAAATCTCAATTTCAAAAAATGACCCTTATGACTGGATTTGTGGCCCATACGGTCACATATTACATTAAAGGTAATAGGCCTGAAAATGTTATGCTGCTATCTTTGAGCCAAGAAAAACAGCCGAAATTCAAAAACAAAGAACAAAACGTGCGGTTTACTCAAAAGAAACACAAGTCGAGGAAGTTGACCAAATCATTGGGTAGCTAAAATTTTGCCTGTCCAGAAAAACAGACTATAACTGGCCTGGTTACTACTAACGTTACTGGTTACAAATAAAAATGAAACGATTGTAGAAGGTCATGATGATTAGATAACCCTCGATTACCCGTGCGGTAATGACTCTCCTCCATCAGCCGTTTCATTAGCTGTGCGCTGATCGCATTAAGCGCAATGGCGCATGATAGCACATTGTATCCAGAGCAGTGATAGCAACTGAGCGCTTTTGAAGCTAACGGAGCAGAAAGTGTAGTGTAATCAAGGAGTACGCGGGCTGCTCGTACAGATAACTCACCTTTTGTCTAAACCGGAGGGTTTCCACGCATCGGTTCGGTTCGTGTCATTCTGAAGCGAGACTGTCTCCTCGAAGTACTCCTCGCTGCAGACTGTAGCGCGGTGACGTCACGTACGTACGTACGCAAAGTGACGTAAGGCATGTCTATAACGCACATGCGCGCCGTACGTACTGGCGTTACTGCGCATGTACAGAACATTAGCTTACTTACGTTTTCTTAAAAACAATGCGTGTTTGTGTTAACGGCTTTTAATTGCAGGGATGCTTTGGTCATAATCATAGATTGCAAATGTGTGCGATTTCAGACATTTATGACATGTTTTATGATATGTGTTAGTATTTGTTTATAGTTTTAATATATATATATATATATATATATATATATATATACACTTTAATTTTCTGTTTTGTTCTTTGCAATAAAAAAAAAAGTTCACTGTTATCAGTTTGGTTTTTGGAGGCACCATGCATAAAATGGAATGCAGACTGAAAATATACAGCATGTAGTCAATTTAACTTAAAAATACTTTATTGGCTTAAATATTTCACATGCAGAATTGCCAAAGTAACAGAAACATGTCTCATAAAAAACAGAAACATAAATCCTAGTACATCCCTACAACTTTATTTTATTCTATTCCTATTCTATCTACAGCACACCTGTACATACAATTTATTATTTTTTTGTGGTTTATATTTATGCATGTGTATTTTATTCACATCTTATTATTATCTGTGTGTTGTTGTCTCCGTGTACTGGAAGCTTGTGACTGTAACAAATTCCTTGTATGTGCAAACATACTTGGCAATAAAGCTCTTTCTGATTCTGATGTCTATAATTATACTAAATAAATAAACAAGAACCATGACAGAGGAAAGATTCAAATAAGAAATATATAAGGTGCCATTAAAGTGTAGAGTAATGTTACACAATAAATATACACAGGGAAGTATAGTGCAACAGAATGTTAATAAATTGTAAATAAAATACTACACAGATATTACAGAATAAACTCTGTAATTCCGTATAAGTTTACCTCAGATGATACATGATTAAAATCCTAGATATGTGCTGTACTACATTTTACTGTTTTTTTTTCTTCTTTTTTTCACCTTAGCGTTTTTTTTTAATACTTATACATTTTATCAGAGTATTCTGTTAAGTATGCGCATGCGTTTTAATGACGTGTTACGTCACCACGCAATGCAAATTACTCACGCATGCGCTGTCACCACGTTAATGCGCATGCGTGTTATAGACAGACCTTACGTCATGCGCGGTAAACACATACGTGACGTACGTACGTGACGTCACCGCGCTACAGTCTGCAGCGAGGGGTGTCTCGTCTCCTCCGCCGCTCAGTCGCTCGGAGCGTCGGTCTCAATGCGCACAGCGTCAGCGGTCTAAATGAAAACGCACCGCGCCCCCTGGCGGCCGCTCTGGTGCCAAATACACTAACGGTTGAGGGTTGTTTTTGTCATGAAGCGAGAAACAATGGGCCAAGTCGTGGCACGTTTTACTTAATGTCCTCTAGGCAGTGAGAACTATAGAAGTAGGTAGGAGTAACTTTAACGCACCTATTTATATTTCTGGATGTCTGCCATGAACTGAAATTATAAGACAGGGTACCATAGAGCCATGATATATAATATATATACAGGTGCATCTCAATAAATTAGAATGTCGTGGCTTCAGTCTGTGTGCATTGAATTTATTTAATACACGAGTTTCACAATTTGAGTTGAATTACTGAAATAAATGAACTTTTCCACGACATTCTAATTTATTGAGATGCACCTGTATATGACTTCTAAAAAAAGGAGTTACATAAGAAGTTGCATAATAGTTTCTTAATAAAGCTATTAACATATGTTATATCCTATAATGGACTGTAGAAACAAAGGCATTGTTATACATTCCAATGATTAAGGTTGCCAGGGAAAATATATGCAAGTTCCTCCTTCCAGTATCCACAAACATGTGGAAATTGACCAAACTGAGAGATTGATTGCTTCTTTAATACACTCTTTTCTTTGAATGTTTTTTGTTTTTGCCTTTCCGTATCTCCCATAGATTCTTATGAAATTTGACACCCCACTTCAGGTTTTTTCAAGGAGACCAATGCCATCCAAGACCAAGGTCCTTGACCAAGGTCATCTAAAATAGGGTTAGGTATAAACTACATACAGTTTTCCAAACTGGCAATTCAGAATGAGTTTAAAATATATTTTTGGACCTGGATAACTTGCTTTGACAAAATAATTTTTTACTTGTCATGTAGAAAATTGTCAAAGAACAAATAGCATTAAAACTGTTTGGTTCAAAATATCTTCTTTTGTGTTTATCAGATGAAAGAAATGTATACAGGCTTGGATGGAAAATTTCGGGGCGAATTATCCTTTTAACAATTTAGCTCTCATAAGGTTTTAGCTCTCTAAGTTTTGTCTACAGAAATACAGCTTTCCCATTATCAGTCATGACTATAACCAAATTCACTTTGACATAGTACTCAGTCACAACCTATCAAAATATACAGAACAGAAACACAGGCTTGTTTCCTGCCTCACAACCTCAAGAGGTTTATTAAAAGGTTTCCCTCTGAAGTCCCAAGAGATCACATCCCTCACGCTAGCATGCAATGAACCAATTAATACTATAAGCTTGTCTTGTTTTTTTTCCATGCAGAGCAATCACAGGGTTACAGCAAAAGGTTTATTTTGAGATTCTGCAGTTTATTGTCAAACACAGCATCAACAGGTTAGGTCATCCATTTTTAGCAAACGTAGCGGTCATAGGGTGGATATTACAACTGTGATGCCTTGACTTTTATATTGCTCCAATATTCTAGAGTTTAAAAACAGTTGTGGAAACTAAACCGTGTGAGTCTGCATTACCACTTGGCTATTTGTTATGCAGTGTGTTATTACAGTTGTTAATGTTGTTCACAAATATTTTACGTGATGCAACACTCTGAAAGATGACACAAAGTGAACAGAAGACACTAAACACCCTTAAGAACATTGTTTTGATGACAATAATGAGAAATTAGCAACGCATCAAGCAATATATGCAATCAATTCAAAAACTAATATCATGACTCAAGTAATAATACAAGATAAGAATCCAAAACCAACAGAAATAAGGCAAGGACCACTTTGTGAGATTTTTACAGATTTATTTGCGAAACCAATGAAAACTTAGAATCGGAGCTTCTGGAAGAACCATTTGTTCTTGCCTGTCTTGTACCTGTAAAAGGAAACATTCACTATTATCAATGTATCACCACATGCAGGACAATACATGCTTATCATATTGAGAGTATCAAAGTAAACAGAATGTCCAGTGCCCAACCAGATTATGTCAAGCTCTGGATTATGTGGGTTTCAACCCACAAGACTGAGTAAACTTGACAACACTTTTTCTGCATCAAACTTAGGAATCAAATAATATGATGTCTACACACTACACTACAATGAGAAAGTTTTAATCTAGCCCTTAACGTAACATGTAAGCATTAACAATCAGAAACGGTCAATTTAATTGTAAAATTGAGTAGCCAAGATCTGGTGACAAGCACGTACCTCTCCTCAAACTTAACCTTGGCCTCTCTCCTGGCTTTGCGCTTCAGGGCAGGATCCCTGAAAACATCCTTGTTGACAACAGTTTTGTCCAGAGGAATGTCAACAGAGTATCTGGGGAAAGACGATAAATTAATTAGACAAATGTACATGATTGAATCAGCAGACTTTGATTACTCCGCTTTTGCAATTAGTTAAAATATTGAGTTATTTATATTCTAACAAATAAATAAAGGTAATCACTTCAGCTTTTGAAAATCATATTATGTAATTACAATTATTATACAAATAAGTACATTTGGCACACAAAATGAGATGACAGACAGGCAAACTCTCTCATTCACCATTTAATTGGCTATATGAAAACTTAACTGAAAAATACATCTTTCTGCCTAAAATCTCCTTTTGTAAGTCATATGGATAAGAAACAAAATAAAGGTTAAGTGATAAGACGTTTTATTTTCGGATAATTTTATTCACAACAGTCTCTCTTAAAATACCTTATAGGGTTATGATAATCAAAACAGTCCTGAGCTAGATCAAGCTTTGATCTCTGCAAACCAAACTATCAATTTAATGAAATTTTTTCCCCACTAATGAAAAGATTTGATCATTAGCGAGCTCCACATTGGAGAGCTGCTTTATAACAGAAAATCAAGTTGCAGTTCTAACTGAAAGTGACACCGACTCTGGTTTTTCATGTTTAATACCGTAAAGCTGCTTGGTTTAAAGTTATCTAGTGCATAAAGTACTATATAAATAAACGTGATGTGACTGGACTTTACTAGAGCACCAAACTGCAGAACTCATGCAAACATCCACATTGCTGTAATCAGATTTTTTAGCTTCACAAAACAGCTCGTTATGCTGCTTGATACTGCAAATTGGTGTGTCTTACCTTACTATTTTAATGTATTATCTTAATTATGAACACACTGGTTTGTAGTGCAAACAGCTTTACCATTTACTGCACTTTGTAATTCTTCTCGTTATTTCCCTCTAGCGGCTAATGAACTGTAAGTCTCGCCCATAGGCTTACTTCTGCATTGAAGAATAAGGTGGCTAAATACAACCAATAAGCATCTATTAGAGGTATTTGCAATGGCTTAAGATGCATCATGAAAGCACCACATCAACAAAACTATGTGACTGTGGGTAAGGTGTGCTGGAATCATTAATAGTTCACCAACTAGACAAGTATAACAAAAACCGTAACTCAACCTGGATCAGTCATCAAACGTTGAGTCTATTTACGCTACTGTTCAAAGGTTTAGGGTCAGCAGGGCTTTCTTTGGAAAACAAAGTGCTTTTATTCTTCATGTTCTCATTCAAGTGATCAAATCACAATAAAGACACTTATAATAATACAAAAAATTTCAGTTTCAAATAAATGCAGTTTACTTTCCATTCATCGAAGAATTCCAAAACAAAATGTCAGCACAACTATTTCCAACATTGACAATAAGAAATATTTCTTGAGCAGCAAATTATTTCTGAAAAATCATGTGACACTGAAGACTGGAGGTAATGATGCTGAAAATTCTAATTGACCATCTTAGGAATAAATTACATTTTAAAACTTGTTACAATAGGAAACAATTATTTTAAATTTTAGCAGTATTTCACAATATTGCTTTTTACTGTTTTTGATCAAATAAATGTAGCCTTGGTGATCATAAGAGGACTTGCGTCATTAGAAAGCAAGTGATATGCTGATGGTACACGGGGCAACTTTTTTTGAGCAATGTTGCTTGGGCACTTTCCCACAGAGAATGGGTAACAAATTTCTATCTGGATACTTTAGATCGGTCGTGGGCCCCGTGTCTCACCTGGTTGCCCGTTGCCCGGCAACATTGCTCAAAAAGTTGCCCCGTGTATCATCAGCCTTACTCTGCAAACATCTGTCAATTCTGATACAGAAGCTGTATGAACATGTGCACAGACGTCCCTCTGACTGTTCAGGGTCTACATACCTGGTTGGCATCAGGTGGTTGTAGTTGAACACTTTCACAAAGGCCTTGATCTTGGACCTCTTGGCAATCTTCTTCTTGCCCATGGTTGTGGTGACTTTACGAGGATAGCGGTCAATGCCTGCGACCAGAGCATGGCTGTAAGGACGGTCTGAGGTGCCATCATCAATGTTCTGAATGGAGAAAGAGAGCACAACCCTGTCAATACACAAACACTCAACACAACCTTCTTTTCCTGAATACCGTGAAATATTAAAAATACCTTGACAATCACAGCCTTGCGTCCGGCATAACGTCCAGCCAGGACCATCACCACCTTACCAGGTTTCATAAACTTGCCCATGTCTGAAAGATATGAATTAGAATATGACATGTATATTGCATATCTCCAAAAGCACAAACCTATAAATGTAAGCTGTATCTTCTGGGCAGCACGTTTATAAAACAAGCTCGACCTTTACATAGCATTGTGCCAACTGGTAATTATACGGCTGTATGGAGACGCTCACGTTGGAATAAATATCTTAAGTCATTTAACAAAGGTACTTTATTTGATCTTGCTCACATAGTAATTTGTTTCTTGCACAGGTGTAATAGTAATAAACGTATGCTATCGTGGACGGACAGGAAAGCGATCATGTCTGAAGTAGGGAGACGCAGGGAACTGTAAACCTATTATCTTCTAACGCAGACGTAATATTCAGACAATAAACACTTTCAACAGTCGACAGGGATGTTCGCTCTATAAGCAGCATGAAAGGAAGCCCGGAGGTTTTATTTCTTTATCGATGTTCATGGATTATTTTCTCGTGTATGACACTTACTGATGGCGCTCTATGGCCGACGAGATCGGGAAAGGAAGTAGAACGGGCGAGCGTGACCCTTGACACTGACGGCGAGTGACGTACTTCCGTCGATTTGTTCTACGGAGTGCACGCCGAATGTCTCCGTTTTTGTGTAATTTTTATTTAATAATTATTTTATGTTTTGTAGGAAAGATTATGTAGATTGTTATGTGATCTGCTTATTTATTTTTATTTTTCTAATTTACTTACTTATTTTTCTCTCTCTCTCTCTCTCTTGAATTTTAATTGCTATGTATTGTTTGGCCATCCTTGATCCCCTGGCTTTTTTCATTGGCCTATGTCTTTTCTATGTTTTTGTATTTCCTAAGTTGCAAAAGTGTTTAATATCTGCCTGCCTGCCTGCCTGCTTGCCTTAAAAAATAGAATATCTCCTCATTTCCCTGCTCTTGTACATTTTGTACAAAAAGAAAAAAGAATGTCCTCCTTCTGTAAGCAACACCTATAAGTTTCACATATGCGGTGTATTCAGGTTTGGACAAAAATATAAGAAATGCCTTCCTTTCAGTTTGTGTGAAGATGTTGATTTAAAACAACAGGAAAAGACGTTCAGTGATTTAGTTTCAATTTGGACAACTTCAACGGAAAAACTGACGTAATAAAGCTTTTCTCAATGCACAACAAAATGCCCATCACATTATTTTCAGGAAACTTTAATTATTGTATGAATGTAATTGTATTTCTCTAATTATTTGATTCTGTAAAAAACTCATGTTTATGATAATGGGTATTGGCTATTTATAATAAAAAATTAAACGCTTAGTGTACTTGTAGGAATTTCTTGTCATTTTATTATATTTTAATTATATATTTCTTTAATTTTATTTTTTCAATTTAGGGTTCTACATCTTACTACCTTAATTCAAATTCATGAGTTGAATTAGAATTTCTTGTAATTATAATACTAAATCCTTAATTTTACATTAAATTTACAGTTCTAGTTTTCAGAAATTAAAACATTGAAATGAATTCAATTTAACAGAAGACAATTCTCAGTTAAATTCTGACTAACGTGAGATTAAATAAAAACTTGCTACAACTATTACCATAATTACTACTGATATAAATATATTAATTAAATTACATTGTCTAAAGCATCAGAGAGCTGATGAGAAGTGAGAAAATGTGACTGCATCAGATTCATAGAGCATTCAGAACATTTAATCCATGAAATCACTGAAAAGAGACCATCATTACAGCCAAAAATGATGGCACAAATTTTATAAAAGGGAATGTAATTGACACCGATTTGAAATCACTATTGAAATAATTGATAGTCTATTTCTTTCTAAGAAGAGGTACAAAGACAATAATAATTTCTTAAATACATTTGATAGGACAAAACAAACAAACGGAAATCAAAATAGGCCAAGCATGTATTCAGGCTCATATATTACTATAAAAAAAAAAAAGGAAAGCAGGGGGGGTTGAGACTACATTAAATAAGGGCTAGCTGAGCAGCCCTAATAAATGCATCACAACCATTCCTCCATATTCTAATGGTGCAGAGAAATACACTGAATACAGAGTCCATTTCCATGACGTGGGGTAACAAACAGTCCCTTCTTACTTGATGAAAGTTTCAGTAAATCAGTATTCAGAGTGGTTTAAGTAATCTGGAATCAGATCAGGTACAGTAGCAGGATACAATTCCAAGGATTGTACATTCAGTATTTCAGAGCAGTAAACAAGGATTGACAAGACACAGAAACAGCAGGTATTCAAGCAGAGCCTCTGAACACTGGCATCGCATAACAGGCCATAAATAATTCAGTCAGTTCCAGTGCACAGCATATCAGACTCATATTCAGCAAATGTGCTGAATAACCTAATTTCATTCAGTTCACTTGCTGTGCATTTCCTCCGGTAGCAGCGAGCGGGCAGCACGGCCACAAGATGCAGTTTTCTACAATCATTTTTAAGGTGTCACCTGGCTGGAAGGGCCAGGCTGTGGAAAGGACTTAGGGAGAGAAGTGGTTTTCCAATGATTTACAAACACCAATGAACATCTCTTTGTTTGTTCAGAATGCCCTGAGTGTGTTGCTTGACCTAAGTGAGGTCTCACCAGCATGCATGGTCTCCTCAGAAAGCGATACACTGTTTGAAATGCAATGACCCTTAACAATGCAAATGGAATCCAATCTTAAATTAAAACATCTTATGATTTGTCTGTGAACCACTGCACAATAATGTATTACAAGCTCAGAAAATGAGTGCATTTGGCTACATAAATTTAGAACAAAAAAAAGGAATTAAACCATTAAGTCACTAGTCACTATTTTGTAACTGTCTGTGTGTGTGTGTGTGTATATATATATAGAATATGTTATATAGATACTGTAGTGCATCTCAAACATTTGTAATGGCCCTTGAAAAGATTTCAAGTAATAACTCATTCTTCTACATATTGGTTGATTTTGGTAAAAGCTTAACATAACAAATCCCCTCAAAGGTTATGTAGAGGCAGTTACACACTCAGGGTCACTAAACTGAGCACATTTCCTTTGTGTTGTGACAAATGCAGCATATTAATCATCATCATCCTCTTCAGTTTAGAGACAAGAGGCATTAGACCCAACAGCAACATTAGAGTCTCAAGAAAGTGCACGAGTTGCTTCATTTCCAATTTTTTAATTCCAGTGTACTTGTTGATCTGGAAGAATCTTTTAAATTGATTTAAATTCATGTCATATATAATGTTGTTAGTGTTATTTATATTAGTGTAAATAGTGTTATTTTTATTTATTTATTTTTTTTAAGATTATGAAGGTTGGGAGGGTTCCCCTTTTTTCTCAACCCATCAAAATTCCCATATATTTCTTTTACTTAGAAAGCATCTTTGATATTTTTAAGCTGCCTGACAGCCAAATCTACAGGAAGGCTGAATGTGAGATGGCTGAGGCGGCCCAAGATACGCAGGGCACCTTCGAAGCCCGTCTGGGCCATGTAGCTCCAGGGCTGGTAGTGTGAGTGGATGAGCGTCCCAGACTTACACAGCAGGTTGAGCCAGGACACAAGCCTCTGCTCATTGAGCGCCACGCACAACAAGGCCTTAAACTCAGAGTCCGCGCTGCGCTTGAATCGCCCATGCTCTTTAAGAACCGTATGGATGGCCCATAACAGAGACTGCTTGGGCGTGACCGTCACAGGACCGCCCCCTACAGGCAAACTGAAGGATTGAGAGAGCTGGCGGGCGGGCGATTCCACAAAAGCCTGGCCGTTTTTGGAATGATAGTACTTGATGAAAAGTTCCCAGGGATGCAGGGTCTGGGGAGAAGAGCTGAAGGGCAGCAGGCAGGAAATGGGGGCGAGGACCAGGCTCATGCCTTGAGAGGGAGCGTACAGTCCGTGGGCCAGCAGGTCCCGGAGCGCCAAGGCCAGTTCTTTACGCACAGAAGCGGTGAGTTCATCCCGAGGTCCTCCAGGCATCAGGCAGGCAGAGTAGCTGACCACGTGTTCGTCCTGAGAGCTGGGCTGCTGGCGGGAGGCTTGCAGACGTACACGCTCCACGGCTCCTTCGAGTTTCTGGAGCAGGGGGCCATAATCTTGAGCCTCGCCACCCTGAGACCACACGTTCTGGGGCACGTGACCCGCGGCGCATCCGAACTGACTCAGAGCAAAGATCTGCAGCACCGCTAAGGCTTTCTGGATCAGCTGAAACCCGGTTTCCCGCATCCTCTGGGCCTGTTCGGGATCCACTTTGGACAGAGAGAAGGGATTTAAAGTTACACGTCTGAGCTGAAAAGCAAATATAAAAGTATTATGAAGTGAAGTATAATTACCTCGCTTCATCCCTCCAGTGGCTCCAGTGTTTGGTCCGGCAGCACGGGCCTGCTGGCTCTTCACACCATCATTTAACAGAGGGTTCCCCACTTCATCTGAGAGGAGCAAGATCAGGATGGTAATCTAATTGTATTTATGTTGCTCCAAATAGCCACATCAAACTTAAAGCACAGGAAATCAGTGCAGTGGGCTCTGCAGATAGTGGCATAAAGCTTAATGATATTCACTACTGTTCAAAGGTTTGGGGTTAGTAAGATTTTTTTTTATTATTATTATTGATATATGATATTTTAATTTAGCAAAAAAACCTCACTATTTAATAAAGAATCCTGAAAAAATGCATCCGTTTTAAAATGTAATTAAAAAAACAGTAATTGTTAAATTGCAATAACATCACATTTACTGTATTTGATCAAATAAATGCAGCCTTAGTGAGAATAAGACTTAAAAAAAAAAAAAACATCAAAAATCTTACGTTAATGTGTATTTGACTAAATATGACAAAAATGAGCATCACAACATTGACCCTTAAGCAGACCTCCTCACCCTGTATGAAGTTAATGAACATCTCCAGGTCTCTGATTTGTGTCTTGAGCTGCTCAACCAGCTGCTCTTTGACTCGAGCCGGGTTGACTATCTGAGCTATAGCGGCGTCCACTCTCTGTCGGAGCTCCTCTGGAGTGAGGTTCCCAATGTCTTCATTCAGATTCACATCCAGCTTCTTAATCAGCTCATCAATGATCACCTACAGTATTGAGGTGGACAGACACTAAATAAAACACCCCAACAATGGTTTTAAGGGTAATTACTTAGACCAATACATCTTCAAATGACTTTCAGAACGATGTCAACAGCATGAGAGCGTATTATCAGACGGACCCTCTGTCTCTCCATGACCACAGACTGAGGCAGTGAGTCATAGCTGCCCTCCTGGTAGGCGAAGCGTTCCAGGTCGTCGAGTTGAGTCTTCAGCTGGAAAATCAGCTCCTTCTGCTTCTTTCTCTGAGCTTCCAAGCGTTCCCTCTTCTCTCTTTCACTCTGCATATTATAAAAACACAAACACAAGAGTCAAAGAAACTTTAAAAACCTAAAGCCAAACTTAAAAATATCCAGTGTTTACTTTGTAGCTAGCTGAACATTTTTGCATATGCTCTGGTGAAGGATAATGAGCTTTTAATTAGTTTGCTTCATTTGGTTTAGCTTTGCTTATCCAATGCGAAGCAATTCAGAATTGCTATACACACACACAACACAGTTATAGTTTAACTATTTTACATTTACATTTAAGCCTCTGGGGAACAAAAATGTAACTGATTAATATAAAAAAGAAAAAGAGACCGAACAAAACCAAATCAAGTATGAACTCAATCATATCAGGAATATTTAAAGTAAACACTGAAGTTTAAGGAAAGACTGCACAAGGGTCATGTTCATAGTACTCACCAATTCATCCTGCAAGCAAAGAGTGCAGAGGAGGAAATAAGAAGAAAGGAATGCATTTTAATGGCAGTAACAAGATGCTCCAGCAGGAAGAAATACGGGGGGGAAACTAAGAGACCTCCTTGTATGTTGTTTAAAGTGATTTTTATGTCAATACTATGTTGATTAGTTGCTTGAATGTCACAGAAACAAGCCTTTAAACAAAAGAGATGCAGACAAATGTAATGCTGATTCCTGAGGGCATCATAGGGATATTGTATAGGCTGATCATGTGTGAATGAAAGGGGTGTGTGTAATTATGGGTGGGTGTATCACGGGTGCATATTGTTACAGGAACTGTTACACTATTGAAGAAGGCTTACTGAAAACAAAACAACACTGATGACACTGTAGATCAGAGGTTTCAAATTGGGGTCCAATGAAAAGTTTAGAAAGACAGTGTTAAAATGTAAAAAAAATTAATAATTTAAATTAAAAAATAATAATAATAATAATATACAACAAAAATAAGATTACTATAAATAAATGTTTTTTAATTAAATAGAATAAAAAATGTGACCAAAATAAGCAAATAAATAATACTAACAGTACAGTGCTATGAGTATAAAAAAAGTAATAATGTAACTCAGAGTGTAAATATTTTCCAAATAATAATTTGTCCACAGTGTAATTTGGGTCTTTGTATAAAATAACTATGTAATGTCTTCTAAATTATAGGATGGGGTCCCTCACATGAGGATGATCATATTTGGGGCCTGTGGGGTCTAAAATATTGAAAAGCCCTGATGTAGATCACATGTAATTGAGACGGTTTCATGCCATTCTCCTACAAAGCACTTGTTTTGAGTCATATTTGAGATTTGGTGAATAAATTGCATCACTTCAGGTGTTTCCATCCCTGCTGGGGGGGGGGGGGAAACCTAAGCCTGTTTGCTGGTCTTAGCTAACTTAAACTGGTCTAGCTGGACCTCCAGCCTGGCCAAGCTGGTATTTATCTGGATTGCCAGCTGGTTTCACAGCGCCCAACCCCCTTCAAAAGACTAGTCTGACTCTGACCAGACTGAGAGACCAGGTCTTGGGTTTTAGGATATCTTGGTTTTTTTCCCCTGCAGGGTAGAGATCACTACGACAGAAAACAGCGGAACTCACAGAGTTTTCCAGCATCTGAGCATCATGTGCCCTGCAGCCTATGACATGAGGGCATCCTTTGAAGGCAAACTCCTCCAGCTCCAGCAGCATCCTCTCTTTCTCGTCGCTCTGCGCGTGGACGATCTGTTTCAGCCGAAACTGCACTTGAGCGAAGTGAGACGTTAACGCGAGGAGCGACGAGTTCAGCTGCTCCTGCTCATCCTCCAGCTTCCTCAGCCTGGATACCAGGTCTGCATCGCTGGACGACACAGAGCCAGTCTGCGTGCCCTGCTTCCACTGCTCATCCTCCGGGTTGGCCACGGCTCCCACCGGCGCCCAGCGCTCCCCGGCTCCCGCGAAGGCAGCTTCGCTGTCGGAAGTGGACAGATCTTCCGTCGACATGTGATTGATAGTTGAGGAAGACAGCCTGGCTGTCCTTTAACCGAGAACAACCTCGACCAACTTAATTGATGCGCAGCTGTTTAGCGTGAATTCAGAATATACGCAGCCGCTGCTTTAGCAGGTGCAGCGCAGTGTTACACTTGCGTCTTCAGAAAACATTGCAACGTAATCGAAACGACTGAGATCTTGAGGTAATATGGAACCAACGCACCAGAGTTCCAACGAACGTGCCGTTCTATGTATCAACGAACGCGTGGGCAGGATATTTACGTCAGTGCGTCATGACGTCAGATAAACGCACAGTTAAATCGAGGGCTTTACAGTTTGTTGAGCGTTTCTGTCCATATTTACTCTTCCTTCTATTCTCTGTGTGTTTGTTTTAATGCAACGCCCTAAGTGTCAGTGGGTTGGACTGCGTGCCAAACACACCTTTGACTGTTCTGACCCAGCAGAGATTTTTATTACTGCCATCATCATGGCACCATCGACCAGGGGTGCGTTTTCCAAAAGCATTGTTTGCTAACTATGGTCGCGAGTTCCATTGAATTATATTGGTAACAAATGAACTTGCGACAATAGTTGCCTTTGGAAAACGCACGTCAGGTTGATTTGGTAGATCCCAACTGCAGCAACAGTTGAAGGGTTCTTTGGTCAGTTATATGGGAGTTCTGCTGCCCTCTGCCTGCTATAGTTGCTGTCCTTCCAGTTTTTTTTTTAAAGGGGTCATATGATGCTTTTTTAAATATCATTATTTTGTTCTCGCTCTCTCTCTCTTTCTCTCTCTCTCTCTCTCTCTCTCTCTTCGCGCTCTCTCTCTCGCTCTCTCTCTCTTTCTATCGCGCTCTCTCTCGCTCGCGCACACACACACATGATGCGCAAAACTCCGCATTTGAACAGTCAATAGCAAATACTTAAACTAATAACAAAACAGTAGCTGATTCAGAAGCGCCAGATTGTCATAGCAAAGTCAGAATTACGGTCGTCCATAAAATGCATTGCTGTTCTGTTGTAAGTAATCTTAAAGATTCCTAAATGCATCTACTTTCGGAAGGCCAAATAAAGTGCTTTTGCTTTCGCCTAGAAACACACAGCGTCTCCCTGACATGGCTGCATCAACACTAACTGCGGTTACTGAAACCACGCCTTCTTTCTTTGCGTGCACATTTGGGCGGCATTATGCAAATATTTCCACATAATGAGGTAGATATGTGGGGGCGTGTTAGAACGAGCCTTTTTAGGGGGGCGTGGCAGAGTCTTAACTTTGATAAAGAATATCTCTTTGGTTTTGAGACTTTAGTCTTTGCAACTTCAGGGATCTTATCTATGCACAATCAGCTTGTAACACTCCAAAGAGAAAGGAAAACTTGAAATCGCATCATATGACCCCTTTAACTCTCAATTTTCTGTATTTTCCAGATTCTTTCTTATTACTGTGCAAAGGAATCAACCTAAATTCTGGTGTACTGGTCTTAGCTTGTCTCTAAATTCTGGTTAACTGGTCTTGGCTTGTCTCTAACCAAGAAACCAACAAATAAGCTTAGGCTGGTCTGTTCTTTCTTTCTTTCGTTCTTTCTTTCTTTCTCTAATTGCCCAGAAAATTATAGCCTACAAGCTGTTTTTAAAGACAAAATGCATGAAAGACTAAATGCATTTATGGATTTGTTTTTACTTAAAAAAATTACATTCCCCACAAAAGGTGACCTGAAACATGAAATAAATAGTGAAAAACTGGTTGATCAGTCACAGCACCTACAATTTCTACCTTAATGTTAACCTACAACCTTGATTTTGAAATAAAAATGGACATGGTATTTTCCTTCATATTTGTAATCATTATATATTTTAATAAAATACAAAATATAATTTTTTAACTATTGTAATAAATTTATATAAATTTAAAATTAATGGAATATGTTTTATTTTGGATACATTTGAAAGAGAAAATAAATGTACAATAGACAATACAATTTCCTTTTATCTCGCTTTTATTTCTCTTTTAGAGCTGACAAGGTTTCAGATTGGTCACATTTTTACTTCAGAAAACTTTTTGTCATCTGTCACAATGCTCAATCATTATAACCAGCATTTAAATCAATAAAAAAAGACAATTATACAAATCATGGTAAAGATCAAGACCTGCAATAAGGAAGTTACACAGAAAAGGTGATGTTTGTTATCTGAAAAGATTAATTTAATATGTTTCCTTATCCAGGGCAATGCGGTCATAATTCCAAGACTGCATGATGTCAAGTCTGATAAAATGTAACCTGTGAACCTTTGAGGCCTGCTGTATTTGTACATGCCACGTTTTAATGAATTAAATCCAGCCACTAGAGGTCATCTATGCTTCAATATGTGTTACATCTTTCCATCATTCCATAGTCAAATTATTCTTCAGATAAAACTGAGCAGTAACCAAAACACTGGAAACTATGCACAACTATGAACAATGTACACTTTACAATAATGACCCATTCTTAAAATGTACAAATGGCTCAGTGGATAAGATTTAGTTGGTATTACTGATAGACAATGGAAACGGATATTAACCATCATAGTCAGCCCTAATGAAACTGCAAATACAATCAACCTTTTGCAGTGAACTGTCTGATTAGCTTTAATTAGTACTTTGATAAAATGTATAATTTTTATAAATCTGACACTTTAGGGAGTGTTGGCCATTTAAGCGACTGAGTGGGAATAACCCAGGTGTTTGTGTTTTTGTTGTTGTTGTTTTTTTTACAGAGTAATAGCTCGTTTATTTTTGGAGAAGAACACCCTCCAGTTGTCCCAGTTGTTCCAGTCAAAGCCTATGGCTGAAGTACAAGTTCCACCAGCGCCACATTTGTATCCAGCAGGGCAGCAGTGTTTCATATCATCACAGCACTCGGCCTTTAGAGAGAGCGATAACAAAGGAAAGAAAGGAGTAAGAGAAAGTACAAGCACAAGAATAGATAAACATTTACAGTTTGACCTGCATTTGAATTTACAGAAAAGTCAATAGAACTGAAATCGCAAGACAGTGTGCTCATTTCCATGAATATATTCAAAGGAAATGCATTCTTCCATCCAACTATTATGCACTGGAACTCTAAATTGACATATGTAACCCATTAAAGGTGGGGTAAGCGATTTTTCAAAAACGGTTTAGAAAACTGATTTGGGCCGACTAGCAAAACAAACTTGTAGCCAATCAGCAGTAAGGGGCGTGTCTACTCATGATGTGGAGGAGAGAGTGCTCAGTGCACAGGACGGACATTAGCCGAGCCGAGCGACAGAAAGAGAGATGGCGGATAAAAAACAAAAGAGGAAAACGTCTGCGGAACAAAAGAAGGCTTAAGGCAAGAAGTAGGACCCGTGTAAATACTGGATCAGCTTTCCAGCGCTGGAGAGAACTCAAGGAGCGGAAGGCCTTCGATCTGACGCCGAGGTTGCTTTGTTTCTTCTCGATAGGTGAGTAACACCATGTCTACAACGGACGCGACAGCTAAAGTCTGTCTAGTACACTGGACGCGAAAGCGACCGTTGAAAATCATTTGAAATTTGTGTCAATACGTCATGAATGGAACGCAGCAGCAGTTTTCTGTCGGGGATTTGTTGTATCGTGCTGCGCCGCATCCAGTGTAGACCATAGATATTTATATATAGTAGGGGCGTGTTTGTTTTGGTGATTTCAAATGTCAACATTGGCTACCAGAAATCGCTTACCCCACCTTTAACTTCTTCAAATGAATTTTGTACAATTAAACCTGTACTATTAAAAAAAGATATTCTGTTTCAACTGTTTGTGTGCATATAATGAAACTCATTGGTGTTCAAAACAACATTAGACCCCAATGGTTTTTATTGTATGGACAAAAAAATATAGAACCAAAATGTCTCCTTTTGTTTTCCACAGCTGAAAGAAACCTTGGAACAACGTGGGGGTGAGTAAATGATGGTTTAATACTTTACCTTTGAAGATAAACTAGTTTCAAGTAGGTATGTGCCTGCCTTTTGATTCAAAATTATTTTAAAGTGTTTTTCTTCTTGTTTTATGCTTAAAATAATAAAAAAATAACTTTGCTAATGGGAAAAATTAATTTTTGAAGGGTGAAGGTTTAAAAAAAAACTTTTAAGGTTTAATGCATTACCTTTGGAGATGGGCAACAGCCCCAGGTGGTCTGGGAGGTTGGACAACAGGTCTCACTATCTTTGCAACTATATCCACCTCCACACTGAATGTCCTTTTCTGAGATGCTCGACTGTGGCTTTTGGTCATCAATGTGGGCAAGTGGGACTATTTCCACATGCAGCCAGGTGGTTTTTATGCAGGAGCGTCTACGCAGGTCACACCTGTAGCCTTTGGGACAGCAGTGCTCCTGGTCTGGGCAGCAAACAGCCTATGGCATATAAGAGGTGCATTAAATCTATTGAACGTGAATAGATTTTCTGTAGCCAGTCCATATACACATATTCTTACCTCAGGAAGAGGGCAGCAGCCCCATTCTCCCGTGGACAGATGGCAGCAGGTGGAATCTGCAGAGCAACTCGACTGCTCGTCGCACTCAACAGTGCCGAGATCCAAGCTTGGAGCCGGTGTGCTTTGAACAGAAATGTTATTGTACCAGGGGATCACCACATCTCCCCTGATGCAAGACACCCTGGTCACATCACACTCATAGTTAGCCGGACAACAGTGTTCCCCATCTGTGCAACATACAGCCTGAGAAAAAAATGAGAAAAAGATTCAAGCAGAAAACATATGGGCAATCTGACCTTTACAACATGTTCTGTGTGTTTTAAAATTTGCAAAACAAATTACGTATAGCCTATTTCCATATAAAAATGTTTGTGGTCAGTACGTTTTTTTTCATGTTTGTGAAAGTCTCTTATTCTCACTTATTTGATAACAAAATGCAGTAAAATTTAATATTGTAAAATATTATTACAATTTGAAATAGATGCTTTGTAATGTAGTTTATTTCTGTGATGGCAAAATTAATTTTCATTTTCAGCCATTACTCAGTGTCACATGATCCTTTAGAAATCATTCTAATATGCTGATTTGATGCTTGAGAAACATTTCTTCTTATTATCAATGTTGAAAAAACATTGGTTTTGCTTTGTTTCACAGAACTAATCGTTGCCTGGGTTGCGTACGTATGTGTGGGGCGGAGCTATCAAAATAGGGGCGAGACCTTTTTGGGGTAGGGGCGTGTTTGTTTTGGTGATTTCAAATGTCAACATTGGCTACCAGAAATCGCTTACCCCACCTTTAACTTCTTCAAATGAATTTTGTACAATTAAACCTGTACTATTAAAAAAAGATATTCTGTTTCAACTGTTTGTGTGCATATAATGAAACTCATTGGTGTTCAAAACAACATTAGACCCCAATGGTTTTTATTGTATGGACAAAAAAATATAGAACCAAAATGTCTCCTTTTGTTTTCCACAGCTGAAAGAAACCTTGGAACAACGTGGGGGTGAGTAAATGATGGTTTAATACTTTACCTTTGAAGATAAACTAGTTTCAAGTAGGTATGTGCCTGCCTTTTGATTCAAAATTATTTTAAAGTGTTTTTCTTCTTGTTTTATGCTTAAAATAATAAAAAAATAACTTTGCTAATGGGAAAAATTAATTTTTGAAGGGTGAAGGTTTAAAAAAAAACTTTTAAGGTTTAATGCATTACCTTTGGAGATGGGCAACAGCCCCAGGTGGTCTGGGAGGTTGGACAACAGGTCTCACTATCTTTGCAACTATATCCACCTCCACACTGAATGTCCTTTTCTGAGATGCTCGACTGTGGCTTTTGGTCATCAATGTGGGCAAGTGGGACTATTTCCACATGCAGCCAGGTGGTTTTTATGCAGGAGCGTCTACGCAGGTCACACCTGTAGCCTTTGGGACAGCAGTGCTCCTGGTCTGGGCAGCAAACAGCCTATGGCATATAAGAGGTGCATTAAATCTATTGAACGTGAATAGATTTTCTGTAGCCAGTCCATATACACATATTCTTACCTCAGGAAGAGGGCAGCAGCCCCATTCTCCCGTGGACAGATGGCAGCAGGTGGAATCTGCAGAGCAACTCGACTGCTCGTCGCACTCAACAGTGCCGAGATCCAAGCTTGGAGCCGGTGTGCTTTGAACAGAAATGTTATTGTACCAGGGGATCACCACATCTCCCCTGATGCAAGACACCCTGGTCACATCACACTCATAGTTAGCCGGACAACAGTGTTCCCCATCTGTGCAACATACAGCCTGAGAAAAAAATGAGAAAAAGATTCAAGCAGAAAACATATGGGCAATCTGACCTTTACAACATGTTCTGTGTGTTTTAAAATTTGCAAAACAAATTACGTATAGCCTATTTCCATATAAAAATGTTTGTGGTCAGTACGTTTTTTTTCATGTTTGTGAAAGTCTCTTATTCTCACTTATTTGATAACAAAATGCAGTAAAATTTAATATTGTAAAATATTATTACAATTTGAAATAGATGCTTTGTAATGTAGTTTATTTCTGTGATGGCAAAATTAATTTTCATTTTCAGCCATTACTCAGTGTCACATGATCCTTTAGAAATCATTCTAATATGCTGATTTGATGCTTGAGAAACATTTCTTCTTATTATCAATGTTGAAAATGTTGTGCTGCTTAATATTTCTGATATTCATGCTTTTTTTAAATGATTCGTAGAGCTCCAAAGAACAGCATTTATTTGAAATACAAACCTTTATGTAACATTTGAAATGTCTTTACTGTGTTAAATGTCTTTTGATCAACTTAAAGCATCCTTGTTGAATAAAAGTATTAATTTCTTAAAAAAAAAAAACACCACAAATTTTTAAACAGTACTGTACTTTGTATCTATTTTCGAGTCAGTGAGGACTGTGCATCTGTGTTGCACGCACACGGAAGTACCTGAAACTATATATACGCTCAAAACAAAGGGCCTTCTTAATAGATGCGATATCATGATGATACAACCAGAAAAACAGGTAGTTTAGTAAAACAACAACCTGCAGAACATGGCTTTGCGTGAGAATTTAGAAGATGTTTAGCACAAATAAGCATCTCTGTGTTGTATATAACAGAATCACACTCACATTAGGTAGAGGGCAACAGCCCCATTTGTTGGTTTTTTCAACAAGACAGCAAGTAGTGTGATCTGGACAGGAAGTTTGTGAATCACACAGAACCCTGCTATTGTACTTCCCCACTCTGTCTTTCACTTCCCTGTGCTGTCTCTGTTCCTCCTTAGCTGAGGGTAGGTTAATGTCTGTCATAGGTACAGATGTGGTGTTGCTAGTGCAGGTCAGTGTTACAAAGTCACAAGTGGTGCCGTGTGGACAGCAGTGGAATTGATCCTTACAACACACAGCCTGCAGACAGAACAACCTGACTTTTAGTTATATACACTATTAGTATGTGATAAAACTAGTCTAAAGTAGCTTAGTGCCTTTTGGTTGCAAATTTCATTTTGAATGGGGTTTTTTTTTGTTTTTTTGGGGGGGGGTACAATTAAATATCATTAAACAAAATAAACATACGTGTAGCAAAATATATATAGAATATTAAAGCTTCTTTTTCTTTTTTTATTTATTGAGTTTTTAATAAATCTAATATAAATGTACTAAGGTTTATGCTTTAAAAAAAAAGATGTGCTTATGAAAAATAATAAACTTATTTGCACTACCATTCAAATGTTTGGGGTCAATAAGATTTTTTAAAAAGAAATAAAATGTTATTCAGCAAAGATGCATCAAATTGAACAAAAGGTGCAATAAATACATTATATTGTTACAAAAAAAAATCTGTTTTAAATAAATGCTGTTCTTTTGGACTTTCTACTCATCAAAGAATCCTTTAAAAATGTATCATGTATTCCACAAAAAATATTAAGCAGCACAACTGTTTTCAACATTGAAAATAATAAGAAAGCACCAAATCACAAACCACAGCATATTAGCATGATTTCTGAAGAATCATGTGACACTGACTTTGCCATCACAGAAATAAACTACCTTTTAAAGTAATTCAAAATAAAAAAACAACCATTTTAAATTGTATTAATATTTCGCAATAGTATTTTTTTAATCAAACAGAGGCATCGTTGGTGAGTGTAAAATACTTTTTTTAAAGGCAATAAAAAATCTTACCGACCCCAAACTTTCAAGCTATAGGGTAATTCTCTGAAAATAGGTCAGTTTGGTTTCTCAATTAAATGTTGCTGAGCACTTGAAGAATATCATTGTGAAAGAGGGACTGAGGGATATCACCAAGAGTAATAAAATTCAAAGTTGAAAACAGAGTGTGTATTTTCTCATTTGGTTACTCATGCAAGATTAGATTTCTCCTCTGAGATATACTGTACCTCAGGCAAAGGACAGCAGCCCCAGTCTCCATCAATGTTCTTACAGCAAGTGTTGGAATCAGGACAAACGTGACTAGAGTCGCAGTTCACGTTCCCAGGTGACTTTTGACCTGCTCTAGGGAGAGCAGGCAGCTTCTCGAACCAAGGCTTAGAGCCTGAAGGTTCGTCACAAGACCCAGCAGCAACGTTACATGTCGTACCGTGAGGACAGCAGTGGACAAAGTCATCACAACACACAGCCTATAGAGAAAATGGAGTTATCTTATCAAAATATCTTCTTTTGTGCTCCACAGAAGAAAGAAAGGTTAACAGAATTATTATTCTGTGAATTCTTCCTTTAATAGATCAGGTGATTTACCTCTGGAGAAAGTTTTTTTTTTCGATCATGGCTCTTCATGATGTCATGAAGGGCGGAAGTCCTTGTATGGGCACTTCTCCTGGAAGAGCGTGCCTGCGCACACATTGACCAGAGCGAGAGCGCGCCCATCATCGTGCTTCATTCGTCAGCGCTACTCAGGACTTTCTCAAAGACACTAGAAAAGATAAAGACCGTTTAAGAACAAATAAAATGCTAGTTTTATACAGTGTCTGTGTGCTGGATTCAGTCCTTTGATCTACCTTGTGTAACAGCCACATTCTGACTGCTGATCGGTTTGACAGGCAGCTTCTCGAACCAAGGCTTAGAGCCTGAAGGTTCGTCACAAGACCCAGCAGCAACGTTACATGTCGTACCGTGAGGACAGCAGTGGACAAAGTCATCACAACACACGGCCTATAGAGAAAAAGAGTTATCTTATAAAAATATCTTCTTTGTGTTCCAAAGAAGAAAAAAGGTTAAAGGTGATATCTAATGCTATGTCATGCAAATAAGTTATTCATGCTGCTAACGGTTTGGATGTATAACGGAGCATTTCCGTGCCAAATACACTCCTTCTGGGTTCGTACAAGTTTCAGAAAGTTTTTTTTTTCGATCATGGCTCTTCATGATGTCATGAAGGGCGGAAGTCCTTGTATGGGCACTTCTCCTGTAAGAGCGTGCCTGCGCACACATTGACCAGAGCGAGAGCGCGCCCATCATCGTGCTTCATTCGTCAGCGCTACTCAGGACTTTCTCAGTGTGTTTTTGGTTGTGAGGGAAAGACAACCTTGTTCAGCTTCCCAAAGAACCCAGCGTTACGTGAACAGTGGATGCAGTTTGTTTTTCCGGGGCAGCAACGGAGTTTCGCAAGTGTGTTTGATTGTTTCTGTCATTTCGGTGACTAATGTTTTATAAACAAGGCCCAGTGCGACACTGGATTGACACATTGTTTGATACTGAAAGATAGAGCGTTTCCAGCTATAAAAGATCCCGGTCATGATTCGGAACTGCAGATGGTAAGTGAAACTGCATCAAATTTCTGCGTTTTGTTGGCAATCGGTGCCCAAGTGCTCGTCACTCTTTAGCTCCGCCCATGGCACGCTTCCAGGAGCTCGGCTGTTTTCAGAGAGAATCGTTAAGCTGTATTTTTCTTTTATAAACATGATAAAACTACAGAGTTTTTGGAGATATATTGGATGCAATACTTCTCTATAGGTACTCAAGATTAACACGAGATCGGGTGAAACTGTGTGTGTTATGTCCCCTTTAACAGAATTATTATTCTGTGAATTATTCCTTTAATAGATCAGGTGATTTACCTCTGGCAGAGGACAGCAGGCCCATCCTCCTTCTTGAGTCTTACAGCATGTGGTTCCATCTGGACAAGATGTGGTGCCATCACAGGAAACATCTGAATGCATTGAAGACACTAGAAAAGATAAAGACCGTTTAAGAACAAATAAAATGCTAGTTTTATAGTGTCTGTGTGTGCTGGATTCAGTGCTTTGATCTACCTTGTGTAACAGTCACATTCTGACTGCTGATCGGTTTGACAGGCAGCTTCTCGAACCAAGACTTAGAGCCTGAAGGTTCGTCACAAGACCCAGCAGCAACGTTACATGTCGTACCGTGAGGACAGCAGTGGACAAAGTCATCACAACACACGGCCTATAGAGAAAAAGAGTTATCTTATAAAAATATCTTCTTTGTGTTCCAAAGAAGAAGAAAAAGGTTAAAGGCGATATCTAATGCTATGTCATGCAAATAAGTTATTTATGCTGCTAAAAAGTTGGATTCTTGTGCTAAACTTGGCCAAAGTTTCAAAAACCGATTTGGATGTATAACTGAGCATTTCCGTGCCAAATACACTCCTTCTGGGTTCGTACAAGTCTTCAACACGAGATTGGGTGAAACTGTGTGTGTTATGTCCCCTTTAACAGAATTATTATTCTGTGAATTATTCCTTTAATAGATCAGGTGATTTACCTCTGGCAGAGGACAGCAGGCCCATCCTCCTTCTTGAGTCTTACAGCATGTGGTTCCATCTGGACAAGATGTGGTGCCATCACAGGAAACGTCTGAATGCATTGAAGAAACAAGAAAAGATCAAAACAGTTCAAGAACAAATAAAATGCTAGTTTTATACAGTGTCTGTGTGCTGGATTCAGTCCTTTGATCTACCTTGTGTAACAGCCACATTCTGACTGCTGATCGGTTTGACAGGCAGCTTCTCGAACCAAGGCTTAGAGCCTGAAGGTTCGTCACAAGACCCAGCAGCAACGTTACATGTCGTACCGTGAGGACAGCAGTGGACAAAGTCATCACAACTCACAGCCTATAGAGAAAATGGAGTTATCTTATCAAAATATCTTCTTTTGTGCTCCACAGAAGAAAGAGAGTTTCTTTATTTTAATACAGAATTATTATTCTGTGAAATATTCGGTAACACTTTATTTTAAGGTGTCCTTGTTACACATGTTACATGTACATACTATTATAATAACAATAAGTTATGTATAATTACATGCAAGTAACCCTAATCCTAAGCCTAACTACATAGTAAGTACATGTAGTTAATTAATATTACTCAGTACTTAAATGTATAATTACACTGTAACGAGGACACCTTAAAATAAAGTGTAACCAATTATTCCTTTAATAGATCAGGTGATTTACCTCTGGCAGAGGACAGCAGGCCCATCCTCCTTCTTGAGTCTTACAGCATGTGGTTCCATCTGGACAAGATGTGTAATGCACTGAAGACACCAGAAATTTTATAAACAGTTAAATAAAATGCTAGTTTTATACAGTGTCTGTGTGTGCTGTATTCAGTCCTTTGATCTACCTTGTGTAACAGCCACATTCTGACTGCTGATCGGTTTGACAGGCAGCTTCTCGAACCAAGGCTGAGATCCTGAAGAGTCCTCACACTTCCCAAGAGCAACATTACATTTCTTACCATGAGGACAGCAGTGGATGAAGTCGTCACAACACACGGCCTATTGAAAAAAATGAATGTACACGTTTAACTTAATGCAAAACACAACTCTACATCAGGATTGGTTATATAAGACAGAGATATTGTCAGTATTTTTGTTTTTTGTTGTGTTTTGGCCTCTAGAGGTCCTCATGGTGCTTTGCTGGATCCGCTCCTCTGCTATCAACGAGAGGAACGTCTGTTCTTCCGCAACAGACAACAAAACTTTTTGGTTGTTAAAAAAAGGTGCGCTCGTTCAAAACAGTTGCGTTCGATCCTTCGCTGGCTGTGCTGATTTAAATCTAGCGGTTCTTTTGTGTTTGTGTCGCAAGTTCAGTGACGCAGGTAGTGACGATTCTCTCCGGCCAATCCGTGATCAGCAGAGTTTACACGTCACATTTTGGTAACGGTACGGTTCACTTGGAACCCCAACCGAGGTGGTACTAAAAAAAGTACCAGGTACCAGGTACTGTACCCAGTGGAAAACCCCCAAAAGTGCCCAGTGCGGAGCCGTACCGTGCCGTACCATGCAGTGGAAAAGCGCCATAAGACAGCTGCCTGAGTAAGTGTTGTGTAGTCTGAAAAATCTGTGGCTTCTTATAATGGTTGCCCTTTGATTGTTTCCTTTCTGCGTTAGATTTTTGTGGATTTTCTCCTCTGGAGTGTTTTTGCTTTAAGAACTTTGGATTTCTGGAATATTTTTGTAGACTTCAATCTTTGGACTGCTTTTGTTATTTGAGAACTGATTTCTGTTTTGCTGTGGAATTTTGTTGCTTGAACTTTCATTAAACCTGCTGCATCTTAACTGCGTCTTACTATTGAGTTCTCCATCCTCCAGTGACTCAAGGATTGAGCATCTGACTTTCACACCAGAGACCCGAGTTCGAGCCTCGGCTCTGACAAAAACACCAAGCCAAACTATGGACCCAGAGAGTCTTCGGTTCAATGTCATGAAACTGTGCTAGCCCAACAGGAGGCCTTGATGGTGAGACATTCACAATTACTTTCTAATGTCATGACCTCCATCCATCAGATCTTTGTTCGGCTGCCATCTCCCCAAGTTACGGCCTCTGCTGTTGCTTCTGTACCTCTTCCAGATCCTCAAGTGTCAGTTCCCCTAGTAGAACCCCGTCTACCTCCACCACAAAGCTTCTCTGGGGATCCCAGTGCTTGTCGTGGATTCCTCACTCAGTGTTCCCTAACGTTCGAGCTACAGCCATCATCCTTCCCCTCAGATAGGGCCAAGATTGCATATCTCATTACTCTCCTTTCTGGTAAGGCCCTCTCCTGGGCTTCAGCAGTTTGGGAGGCCCAGACCCCTTTCTGTGCAAGTTATGCTGCATTTGAAGAGGAATTCAAGCGTGTCTTTGATCACCCCATCAGCGGCATTGAGGCGTCTAAATGACTGCTGTCCCTCCAGCAGGGTAGTTGCAGTGCTGCTGAATATGCCATCCATTTTCGTACCATTGCAGCAGGGAGTGGCTGGAACAATGAGTCTCTTGTGGTGTGCTTCCAGAATGGTCTTTCTGAGGCACTCAAAGATGAACTTGCCACACGAGAGCCTACCAATGATCTCGAGGCCCTTATCGACCTGTCAGTCCAGCTCGACAATCGTCTGAGAGAAAGAAGTTTGTGTCGCCAGTTTGCGTTTACACCCCCTGTCAGTCCAGTTCCCACAGAGCTGTTACCACTGTTCCAAGGGTCACCAGAACCTATGCAGTTGAGTGGTACTCGGATCTCGCTGTCGGAACGTGACCGCAGCATGAAGAAGCGGTGTTGCCTGTACTGTGGATTGCCTGGGCATTTCCGTTCTGCCTGCTCAGAGCTCTCGGGAAACGCTCGATCCCGTACAGGCAGGGAAGGACTGTAATGGGAATTACTAGCATTGCTCCACCTTCCAATTCAGGACTGTTTCTCTCCATCACACTTGCTTGGGGTAATCATAAGCAACATCTCAAGGCCATAGTGGATTCAGGTGCAGCTGGGAACTTTATGGACTTTTCACTTGCTAGGAGTTTCAAAGTCCCTTCTGACTCACTTGCAACACCTCTAACTGTTACTGCCCTGGATGGAAGACCTCTGGGACCTGGGAAAGTGACCCTTCTCACGTCTCTCCTCCATTCATGAACACCAGGAAGAGTTGTGTTTCCATCTGATACGGTCTCCAGTGTTTACTGTGATTCTCGGTCACCCCTGGCTTCTTCAACATAACCCCCATATTGACTGGTCCACTGGTGCTATCCTCAGTTGGGGTCCCACATGTCATGCCACCTGACTTACCCAGATCTTCTCTTATTCTACTCTCGAATCTCAAGAACCCTTAGACCTGTCTCGAATCCCCACTCAGTACCACCATCTGAAGGCAGGCTTCAGTAAAACGAAAGCCATGTCTTTACCCCCACACCGTCCATCTGACTGCGCCATTGACTTGCTTTCAGGTACCTGTCCCCCCCAGAGGTCGCATTTTCTCTTTGTCTTCTCCCGAGCGTGCAGCAATGGACAACTACATTGAGGAAGCCCTTGCGCAGGGATTATTTGTCCGTCCAATTCTCCTGCTGGTGCCGGATTTTTCTTTGTTGGTAAAAAGGATGGGGGCCTTCGCCCCTGCATAGATTATCGAATGCTCAACAAGATCACTATACGGAACCGTTACCCCTTGCCGCTTATGGCCACAGCCTTTGAGTTACTGCAGGGAGCTTCCATCTTCACCAAACTCGACTTGCGCAATGCTTACCATCTAGTGCGCATTAGACAAGGGTATGAGTGGAAGACTGCATTTAACACTCCCACTGGGCACTATGATTACCTAGTCATGCCCTTTGGCCTCACCAATGCTCCCGCAGTCTTCCAGGCTTTGATAAATGATGTTCTTAGGGACATGCTCAATCAGTTTTCATTCGTCTACCTGGATGATATTCTCATCCTTTCAAGTTCCCCTAATGAGCACGTGGAGCATGTCAAGAAGGTGCTAAACTGTCTCCTTGAAAAATCATCTCTATGTTAAGCCTGAAAAGTGTGAATTTCATGTGACTCAAGTACAGTTCCTGGGATTCATAATTACACCTGGCCATGTACAGATGGATCCCCGGAAAGTTCAAGCAGTGACGGATTGGCCCACTCTCTCATCTGTGAAGGAGGTGCAGCGATTCCTTGGTTTTGCCAACTTTTACCGTAAATTCATTTTAAACTTCAGCTCTGTGGTGGCTCCCCTATCTGCTCTTACTAAGGGGAGGAATGCTAGTTTTTGCTGGTGTCCTGAAGCAAAGTCAGCCTTCAGGGAACTCAAACTCCACTTCACTTCAGCACCCATTCTCACTGTCCCACACCCAGACAAACTCTTTGTCGTAGAGGTGGATGCCTCAGATGTGGGTATTGGAGCAGTGCTTTCCCAGAGGGGAGAAGATAACAGATATCAACCATGTGCATTCCTTTCCCACCGCCTAACTCCAACGGAGAGGAATTACCACGTGGGTGACCGAGAGTTACTGGCGGTAAAACTGGCACTTGAAGAATGGAGACATTGTCTTGAGGGGGCCAAACACCCATTTCAAGTACTCACTGACCACAAAAATCTGGAGTATATTCAGCAGGCGAAGTGACTTAACCCTCGTCAGGCACGCTGGTCTCTATTCTTCAACAGGTTTCAGTTTATTTTATGCTACCGTCCTGGCTCGAAAAATCTTAAACCTGATGCTCAGTCTCGAGTATATACAAGTAGTAACCAAGAAGATCCTATCATTCTCATTATCCCGAGCTTCAAGATAGTGGCTCCTGTATGGTGGGAACTTGAAAATACTATAAGACAAGCCCAGGTCCGGGAACCAGACCCAGGTGGAGGGCCTACCAACTGTTTGTTTGTCCCTAAATCAGTTCGCTCCCAGGATCTCCAGTGGGGTCACTCCTCTCGTCTGACCTGCCATTCAGGCACAATTCGCACCCTTGAATTCCTCCAGAGACGATTTTGGTGGCCGACCATTAAGGAGCAAGGACACCAAAAGCTTTGTAACCCCCTGTCCCACATGCAGTCAGGGGAAAGTCTCTCATCGTTCACCTCAGGGTTTGCTCCATCCTCTTTCTATACCTCGAAGACCCTGGTCTCACCTCTGCATGGATTTTATTACTGGACTCCCGCCATCCCAAGGTAACACTACCATAATGGTAACTGTTGACAGATTTTCTAAGGCTGGCAGATTCATTCCCTTGTCCAAGTTGCCCACTGATAAAGAGACTGCTGAGTTGATCATTAACCATGTTTTTCAAGTCTTTGGCATACCTCAGGACATTGTCTCTGATCGAGGCCCTCAGTTTTCCTCTCGATTCTGGCGGGCATTCTGTCAACTTTTGGGGGTGACAGTGAGTCTATCCTCTGGATAAACAGAGAGATTAAATCAGGATCTGGAAACTACTCTGAGGTGCATGGCTGCCAACAATCCAACCTCTTGGTCATCCTTCATTATGTGGGCAGAGTATGCACACAACACTCTATGCTCCTCTGCAACGGGCATGTCTCCATTTGAATGCCAGTTTGGTTATGCTACTCCATTGTTCCCTGAACAAGAAGTTGAAGTTCCCTCCGTACTGCAGTTCATCCGACGCTGTCGCCTGACATGGAAGAAGGCTCGACACAAGCTTCTCAGAGTCTCTCAGCAATATCAGCGACAGGCTAATCGTAGGCGCAGACCTGCTCCCATACTGTGTCCCAGTCAGAGAGTTTGGCTCGCCACAAAAAACTACGAGTTGAGTCCCGCAAGCTCTCCCAGCGCTTCATCGGGACTTTCAGAGTTTCAAGAAAAGTGAACCCTGTTACTTATCGTTTATATTTACCTAGATCTTTAAAGATTAATCCGACCTTTCATGTCTCCCTTCTAAAACCTGTTTTGTCTTCTCCTTTCACTCCGGCAGGTAGACCTCCCCCTCCTCCTCACATTACTGGAGGCCAGCCTGCCTACACGGTCCACTGAATACTGGATTCCCGTCGGGTGCGAGGATCACTTCAGTATCTTGTGGACTGGGAGGGCTATGGCCCTGAGGAGCCGTTCCTAGGGGGAGGGGTCTTGTCAGTATTTTTGGCTTTTGTTGTGTTTTGGCCTCTAGAGGTCCTCATGGTGCTCTCTTGTTTAGCTTACTCTACTTGTAATTAGTGTCATTCTGTTCACATGTGTCTCATTTAGCTGTGTGTATTTAAGTGGCGCTGTCTCCCAGTTTATTTGCTTGGTGTTTAGTTCTTCTAAGACAGCTGCCTGAGTAAGTGTTATGTAGTCTGAGAAATCTGTGGCTTCTTATAATGTTTGCCCTTTGATTGTTTCCTCTCTGTGCTGGATTTTTGTGGATTTTCTCCTCTGTAGTGTTTTTGCTTTAAGAACTTTGGATTTCTGGAATATTTTTGTGGACTTCTTTCCATCAATCTTTGGACTGTATTTTAGACTGTTATTTGAGAACTGATTTCTCTGTTTCTGCTGTGGAATTTTTTTACTTGAACTTTCATTAAACCTGCTGCATCTCAACTGCTTCTAAGTGCGTCTTACTATTCGGTTCTCTATCCTCCAGAGGCTCAAGGACTGAGCACCTGACTTTCACACCAGAGACCCGAGTCCGAGCCTCGGCTCTGACAGATATAATGGTCAAGCTACTTGTCAGTGGGTGAATTACCTCTGGCAGAGGACAGCAGGCCCATCCTCCTTCTTTAGTCTTACAGCATGTGGTTCCATCAGGACAGGCCGCAGTGTCATTGCAGGGAACATCAGAGGCTGAAGGTACAGAGAGTAAACAGAGTTTTATGTTAAATGTGTACTTGTGTGTTTGGTTTCAGGGCTTTGGAGTGTTTGTTGACTTACTTTGTTTGTCTTGACTGATAATTGGCTGCACAGGCACCTGTTCCACCCAGGGCACACCAGAACATGAAGGGTCCTCACAAGTCCCAGCAGCAACGTTACATTTCTTACCATGAGGACAGCAGTGGATGAAGTCTTCACAACAAACGGCCTATTGAAAAAAATGAATGTACACCTTTAACTTAATGTAAAACACAACTCTACATCAGGATTGGTTATATAAGACAGAGATATAATGGTCAAGCTACTTGTCAGTGGGTGATTTACCTCTGGCAGAGGACAGCAGGCCCATCCTCCTTCTTTAGTCTTGCAGCATGTGGTTCCATCAGGACAGGCCACAGTGTCATTGCAGGGAACATCTGAATGCACTGAAGACACCAGAAATTTTATAAACAGTTAAATAAAATGCTAGTTTTATACAGTGTCTGTGTGTGCTGTATTCAGAGCTTTGATCTACCTTGTGTAACAGCCACATTCTGACTGCTGATCGGTTTGACGGGCAGCTTCTTGAACCAAGGCTTAGAGCCTGAAAGTTCGTCACAAGACCCAGCAGCAACGTTACATGTCGTACCGTGAGGACAGCAGTGGATGAAGTCGTCACAACACACGGCCTATTGAAAAAAATGAATGTACACCTTTAACTTAATGCAAAACACAACTCTACATCAGGATTGGCTATATTCAGTGGGTGATTTACCTCTGGCAGAGGACAGCAGGCCCATCCTCCTTCTTTAGTCTTACAGCATGTGGTTCCATCAGGACAGGCCGCAGTGTCATTGCAGGGAACATCAGAGGCTGAAGGTACAGAGAGTAATCAGAGTTTTATGTTAAATGTGTACTTGTGTGTTCGGTTTCAGGGCTTTGGAGTGTTTGTTGACTTACTTTGTTTGTCTTGACTGATGATTGGCTGCACAGGCACCTGTTCCACCCAGGGCACACCAGAACATGAAGGGTCCTCACACGTCCCAGCAGCAACGTTACACTTCTTACCATGAGGACAGCAGTGGATGAAGTCGTCACAACAAACAGCCTACAGAACAAAGTTAAGATGTTTCTTTAACTTAGTACACAAATTTTTAATACTTGCAAAAAACAGAACTGTTTCATGGTGCTGGATGTTTACCATATCTATATATCAAGGTATTTCCAGGTATTTCTAAGAAATAAAAAATAATAATATAATTGTCTTACATCCAAAATCCTCTGGAATACCATGTGTATGTTTTTGTTACAGAATTTTCCAGTTATTTATAATTCAAGACAGAGGTTTTTAAACTTTTTGCTGCCCTGGGACCCTAAAATTGATGACTCCTTAAAATATAAAAATATGTAAAGACCTATTTAAGCTGTTTGGGAAAAAAACTCTTAAGAATAATATTATGGAAACAAAAATGTTTATTTTAAATATATTAAATTTACACTATAGTTTAAAAGTTTGGGGTCAATAAAATATGTTAGGAAATTATTAATTTTATTGAGCAAAAATGCATTAAATTCAATCAAAAGATCAAAAGTCACAGTAAACGCATTCATAATATTACAACATATTTCTATTTGAAATAAATGCTGTCCTCTGAGTTTTTTATTCATCAAAGAATCCTGAAATAAGTATCATGTTTCCACAAAAATATTAAGCAACACAGCTGTTTTCTACATCGATAATCATAAGAAATGTTTCTTGAGCAACAAATCATCATACTAGAATGATTTGTGACACTGAAGACTGGAGTAATGATGCTAAAAATTCAGCTTTTTACATTTTAAAATTTATGAAAATACTTGTCAGTGGGTGATTTACCTCTGGCAGAGGACAGCAGGCCCATCCTCCTTCTTTAGTCTTGCAGCATGTGGTTCCATCAGGACAGGCCGCAGTGTCATTGCAGGGAACATCTGAATGCACTGAAGACACCAGAAATTTTATAAACAGTTAAATAAAATGCTAGTTTTATACCGTGTCTGTGTGTGCTGTATTCAGAGCTTTGATCTACCTTGTGTAACAGCCACATTCTGACTGCTGATCGGTTTGACGGGCAGCTTCTTGAACCAAGGCTTAGAGCCTGAAAGTTCGTCACAAGACCCAGCAGCAACGTTACATGTCGTACCGTGAGGACAGCAGTGGATGAAGTCGTCACAACACACGGCCTATTGAAAAAAATGAATGTACACCTTTAACTTAATGCAAAACACAACTCTACATCAGGATTGGCTATATTCAGTGGGTGATTTACCTCTGGCAGAGGACAGCAGGCCCATCCTCCTTCTTTAGTCTTGCAGCATGTGGTTCCATCAGGACAGGCCACAGTGTCATTGCAGGGAACATCTGAATGCACTGAAGACACCAGAAATTTTATAAACAGTTAAATAAAATGCTAGTTTTATACAGTGTCTGTGTGTGCTGTATTCAGAGCTTTGATCTACCTTGTGTAACAGCCACATTCTGACTGCTGATCGGTTTGACAGGCAGCTTCTCGAACCAAGGCTTAGAGCCTGAAGGTTCGTCACAAGACCCAGCAGCAACGTTACATGTCGTACCGTGAGGACAGCAGTGGATGAAGTCGTCACAACACACGGCCTATTGAAAAAAATGAATGTACACCTTTAACTTAATGCAAAACACAACTCTACATCAGGATTGGTTATATTCAGTGGGTGAATTACCTCTGGCAGAGGACAGCAGGCCCATCCTCCTTCTTTAGTCTTACAGCATGTGGTTCCATCAGGACAGGCCGCAGTGTCATTGCAGGGAACATCAGAGGCTGAAGGTACAGAGAGTAATCAGAGTTTTATGTTAAATGTGTACTTGTGTGTTCGGTTTCAGGGCTTTGGAGTGTTTGTTGACTTACTTTGTTTGTCTTGACTGATGATTGGCTGCACAGGCACCTGTTCCACCCAGGGCACACCAGAACATGAAGGGTCCTCACACGTCCCAGCAGCAACGTTACACTTCTTACCATGAGGACAGCAGTGGATGAAGTCGTCACAACAAACAGCCTACAGAACAAAGTTAAGATGTTTCTTTAACTTAGTACACAAATTTTTAATACTTGCAAAAAACAGAACTGTTTCATGGTGCTGGATGTTTACCATATCTATATATCAAGGTATTTCCAGGTATTTCTAAGAAATAAAAAATAATAATATAATTGTCTTACATCCAAAATCCTCTGGAATACCATGTGTATGTTTTTGTTACAGAATTTTCCAGTTATTTATAATTCAAGACAGAGGTTTTTAAACTTTTTGCTGCCCTGGGACCCTAAAATTGATGACTCCTTAAAATATAAAAATATGTAAAGACCTATTTAAGCTGTTTGGGAAAAAAACTCTTAAGAATAATATTATGGAAACAAAAATGTTTATTTTAAATATATTAAATTTACACTATAGTTTAAAAGTTTGGGGTCAATAAAATATGTTAGGAAATTATTAATTTTATTGAGCAAAAATGCATTAAATTCAATCAAAAGATCAAAAGTCACAGTAAACGCATTCATAATATTACAACATATTTCTATTTGAAATAAATGCTGTCCTCTGAGTTTTTTATTCATCAAAGAATCCTGAAATAAGTATCATGTTTCCACAAAAATATTAAGCAACACAGCTGTTTTCTACATCGATAATCATAAGAAATGTTTCTTGAGCAACAAATCATCATACTAGAATGATTTGTGACACTGAAGACTGGAGTAATGATGCTTAAAATTCAGCTTTGCCATCTCAGGAATAAATTACATTTTAAAATTTATGAAAATAGAAATAAGATACATTAAATTGTATTAATATTTCATAAAATCCCAAACTGTGTTTTTTGATTACATAAATGCAGCATTGGTGAGCATAAGATAAATCTGTCAACAACAAAATAACAATACAAACTTCTGAATAGACATGCATATGGTCAAATTATTAAAATATTATCTAAAATATATATTTATGTTAGATGTGTAACTTTTAAAACAAATAAATACTTTTACAACCTACATCTGTTTTTTCTTACATTTTCTGTGGACCTTGTGATGCATATAACCCCGTATCAGGTGTCCCGAGATTGAGTTCCAGCTCGTGGACCTTTCCTGATCTCATCCCTCCCACTTTGCTTCCTGTCTACCTACTGTCCTATTGTAATAAAAGGCAAAATGCCAAAAATAAAATAAAAAAAACCTGAGGACCCCCAAGCATCCCCAGTGCAAACAGTAGAGAGAAGTTCTTGGTGAAATCTAATGGCTGAGCTAAGTGTCCATAGGGTACAATGCACTGATTCTGCTAACGTAGTAGATCAGGTGAGGTGATTTACCTCTGGCAGAGGACAGCAGGCCCATCCTCCGAGGACCCCCAAGCATCCCCAGTGCAAACAGTAGAGAGAAGTTCTTGGTGAAATCTAATGGCTGAGCTAAGTGTCCATAGGGTACAATGCACTGATTCTGCTAACGTAGCTATATTCAGTGGGTGATTTACCTCTGGCAGAGGACAGCAGGCCCATCCTCCTTCTTTAGTCTTGCAGCATGTGGTTCCATCAGGACAAGCCGCAGTGTCATCGCAGGGAACATCAGAGGCTGAATATAAAGAAGGCAATGACAGAAACAGTTTGAGAAGTGTTATTATTTATGTGCACATATAAAACATGTATGCATTGCCATCTAGAAATTTGCACATACTCTTTGGTAGTGCACCAGGCAATGTAGTCATTTGCTTGCCAGCAGTAGTGAGTTGTCTGGTTGTAGTGAGCTCAGCTTCAGTCCTCATTTCTGCAGCTTTTAAAGAATAAGGGCAAAGATATGAAAATGCTGAACTGCATTGGTGGAAGTTATCAGAAAATTAATAATTCGCTGGGATAACAGCCTACATTTGTGATCTTCCCATTCAGCTCTAAGACGTGCAGGCAATTTGGCCCACATAGGCAGCTCCTGATTGGTGGAGGACATACATTTGGAGCCTTCAACATCACAGACACTGTCCTCTGGACAACAGTGGATTTTATCGTCACAACATACAGCCTACAGAAACCACAAACGACAGAGGAAAGAATGCAAGTGAAAAAAAACATTCATGAACAAATTAAGAAATGTTTATTCAGCAAGGATCCTTGAATTTGATCAAAAGTGACAGGAGAGACTTTTATATCGTTATTAAAAATTATTTTCAAATAGATGTTGCTCTTTTGAACTTTATATTCATCAAAGAATCACAGTTTCCACAAAAGTATTAAGCAGCACAGCTGTCTTTATCATTGACAGTAATTAAATCAGCATATGTGACCCTGGACCACAAAACATAAATAAGCTTTCCATTGATGTATGGTTTGTTAGGATAGGACAATATTTGGCTGAGATACAACTATTTGAAGATCTGGAATCTGAGGGTGCAAAAAAATCTAAATATTGAGAAAATCCAAATGAAGTTCTCAGCAATGCATATGACTAATCAAAAATTAAGTTTTGATATATTTAAAGTAGGAAATGTACAAAATATCTTCATGGAGCATTATCTTTCCTTAATAATGATTTTTGGCATAAAAGAAAAATCTACAATTTTGACCCATACAATGTATTGTTGGCTATTGCTACAAATATACCTGTGCTACTTATGACTGGTTTTGTGCTCCAGGGTCACATATTACAATGATTTCTCAAGGATCATGTGACACTAAAGACCGTGGTAAGGAAAATTCACCTTTGCCATCACAAGAATAAAGTACATCTAAGTTAAATATATCACAGAAGTACACTAGTTATGACGAATAAATATTAAAAAAGTGTTTTTATTTTAAAATAAAGAAGAAAATTTAGTTTCAAAATGTACATTCATTTAAATATGTTTCTCAGACTGTGAAAAAACAGCTTTCTGAACTGAGAACTCTATGACAACATGTCTCTGCACATATTACTGTATTTCAACTTGGCCAATACCTTTGGCATAGGGCAGCACGCCCACTGACCATCTTCTGTCTCACAACATGTGGTGTCTACGGGACACTCTGAGGTCCCATTTCCACAAAGAACAGCCTTGACTGGTTCTACAAACAATCACAGGACAACACCATGAGCTGCACGTATATCCTATCCAAATTAATACAGTAAATCTCTCCGTTAACCCATTATAAATTTATATGGGATCTCCTTTAAAAAAGGATGTTTTAATCATGAAACGCTCTAGTCCACATCTTCCATACCTTTTAGTTTGACACAGGAACTGCTGTCTGCACTGCATTCATGGTCTTTTGGGCAGCAGTGTTTCCCGTCTGAGCACACAAGGCCCTGAAAAAGAGAAACATTGTATATATTCTTATATATACTATATAGTATATATTCTTATAAAACAAAAAAAGAATAGAAAAGAGTATATCTCCAAGGGGTCTATGTTTTAGCAACACCACGCTTCTTTTGTGACCAGGTGAGAGGCCTTTCAATACACCCTGTCATGGACTAGGAGCTAGTGGTTTGGGCCCAGGTTCCTGTAATAATGTAACTTACCTGTGCTACAGGACAGCACCCATATGATGAAGCCATCAGCAGACAGGAGAACTCAGCAGGACAGAAGGAGCCATCAGGACAGGTGATGTCGTCTTCACTTGCAGGTAATGAGGGAATCATTCTGAACGACTGAGGAATGGGGATTGTTAAAGGAATAGTTCACCCAAAAATGAAAATTATGTCATCATTTACTCAGCCTCATGTTGTTCCAAACCTGTATCAGTTTGTTTCTTCTGTTGAACACAAAAGAGGATATTTTAAAGAAGGTTGGTCACCAACAGTTGACGGTAGCCATTGACTGAAAAAAATACTCAGTGGCTACCATCTGTTTGGTTACCAACATTCTTCAAAATATCTATTTTTTATGAGGCTGAGTAAATGATGACAGAATTTTAATTTTTGGGTAAACTATCCATTTAAGACATAACAAGCAGCTTTGAGTACTCTTTTTTTAGACTGTATAATTTCTCACTTTGGGAAGGTCTGTCCGTTTAGCCGGTATCCTCTCCACAAACAGCAGTGTATGTGTGGCGTTTATACACATGGAGTCCATAACACTGCACAACATGTCTTCAGGACAGCAGTGCAGGTGGTCCTCACAACACTCTCCCTACACACACACACAATTTTACGCATGCATGAGCCGATTGAGCAATACAGAAGCTGGATATTTGACAGACAACCTCCTGATTACAGCTTCATTTCTTTGCGCTCTTTGAATAGCAAAGTCATCAAAGAGTGATTTGCATGTTGATACTATATAGGTGCCTTATCATATCCCTTATTACAAGAGCTGACCATGTGAATGTGTGTCAAAAAGGGTGCTATTGAGGAATATCTGAGAGAGCATAAAAAACGAGTAACCGCAGAGCACTAAGTTAAGTTCCATATCATTGTGCAGTTTATCTTCTCGATCTGAACTGATTTCTACAACCTTTATTGTATTTATAGAAGAGTACCTGACACTAATACTCTAAAATGAAACTGTCTTTATGTATCTGTCACTAGTTCGGTCTCTCACGTGATGGAAAGGGCAGCAGCTGAACTCTCCGGTGAGATCCTGGCAGCATGTCTGGCCTGCCTCACACACTTCATTGTTGGGGTACTGCGAGCAAGCAACCAGAGTCACCAGAGCGAGGCCTAATGTCACTTTCAACATCTGGATGGAAAGAGATAGAGTTAACACATTAAAAATAACAGATTTGAAATATGAAATGTGTCTGATATGTTTTAGCGGAAAATGATACAAACTTTCATTGTAACCCATCAGACCTTTATATCTCAGATGCAGGGTTGCAATTTAACAAACCTTTTCAGATGAATAATTCACTGTCTCCTCTTTTGTTGAGCAATAACAGTGCACGTATATCATTTTAATTCTTGTATCACTTCCTCTTTCACATCTAGAAATTGGAAGCAAAAGCTTACCAGAGGAACTACGCTGACCTTAGAAACAATAACTGAAACTCAGGATTATAAATGTCTCAGAGAAAGTGGCTCAAAGTCAGCAAAATAAATGTTGTTAGACAGTTTGATCGTCTTTATTGATTTTTACTTATTTCTGACTGAGGGCAAACCAGGGCATCAGTCAATTAAAACTGTGCAGTTTTATTTCCTTTTCTTGACAAAAGAAATTCCCCCTTATGAATGCCAACCCACATTGCGACTGAGAAACTGGTTTTAGTACCTAGGCTTCTATGGCAGCAAAAAGGGGAAACTGTGAATGTGGTATTTTACCTTTTTTTTTAGTCACTGATTCATTTTCAGTTGCTGTTTCTCACTGAGCATAATGCTTAAATTAATAATCCATTAATTTCATAAAGAAAAATTAAATCTCTTCTGAAGTAAAAGAAAGAGAGAGGATGCACTTCAATTCAACTTACTATTAATTGTTAAATGAACAGGTGGATTTGTAAACGGCTGAAGGTGAATGACCAGTCCGTGGATCCGTGGGCTCCACGTTACCGATCTGTGAGCAGACATAAATGTTTTAGATAAAAATAAAATAATAGAAAAATTAATTAATTAATTAATTAAATTCATCATTCCGTTTAATTCTCTTTTACAGTTTACTACATCATTATGCTACATAAAAGTGAGTTAGTTTCTTGTAGGAAAAAAATCTGCTATAGCAACGAGTGACGTCTAATTCTGCATAATAAATCACAATGAGCAAAGCACTTTTGCACAAAACTTTTACCATGCTGTTTAAAAAAGCACAAAGGGTGTCTGAGACGAACGACGGAAATACAAGACCTACCTTGTCCCCTCGCAACGTTTCCACACTGTGCTTGAATTAATAAATGTTTGCTCCTTAAAATGTAGTTCTGCCAAGCTCCGCCTATATTAGAGGGCAGCCTTTGGATAATGTATCTGTCTATCAGTAACGGAGGCGTGTCATCCGTGTTTGATTCCTTGGAAATGTGCATGGCAAGATGACTAGTTAATAGTTTAATCTAAACTAAACTAAACTAAACTAAAATAAAAAAGCTGCATGGTATTCGTACCGCCCTAGAGTAATTACTTTTTACTTTTTATTGCTCTCATTTGTAAGTCACTTTGAATAAATTAATAATGTAAAGTCTGTTAAATTAACCTAATGCAAATATTCTATTTAGAATTAAAAATAGCGTTTAATTTATGGCAACATCAGCACAACCTGAACGTAGAACTGAAACCTAGTTTTCCTGTAGCCTGCCAAACTATACTTTGGTGCCCCTATCACAGTGAATATCAATCTTATAGATTTTTTAAAACAAATATCCATATTTATTGTAGGTACATTTTGATATGCAAATTAATAGGCTACTGATATAGGCTACTGTTAAAGAAAGATCTTATTGATCAACACCACCCCCTGGTGAATAGAGCTTGTAAATATATTTTTCACTGATTAATACCTGAAACGAAAGCGAAACTGCTCTCTCTACTGTTTGCTTCATCACGGTAAGCGTTTCATCTGTTTATTTATGATTAGGCCTATGCACAAAATAAATGATCATGACACAACAAAAAAGGTATACAATTGTTTAAACGACACGCGTTACAAAAAGTTACTATGTTAATTGTGTGATGTTTTGTTAAAAAAGGCAGTCGTGTAAGACGCAGCGTAGGCTATATGACAAGCGAAAGAATTTAATGTCAGCATTTTTCCTCATTGTTTTCAAAAACGAACAATAATAAGTGTATGCTGGCATCTAATAAAGTGTCTAATATATTTCATTTAAATTGTTTTATAGCGCTTTTGGCGACGTCAACAACACATGCTGTTGAACTTCATGTAGTTCATGGGCCTACTAAAGCTTAAGTTTAGTAGCCAAACATAACCAGCTATGTTCAGACGTTAAAAATATTCTATTCGATGAAAAACAAGGTGGTCATATAGATTATAAACTCTTCTGTCCTAGATAACAGTACTTTCTGTTTGTTCACAGGTTCTTGCGTAGGTAGAAATGTCTGCTGAGGTAAAGGAAGTTCTTCTGGCAAAGACATTTTTTTTTGGCATTCGACTCTCTATTCAGTACAATGACCCTGTTTGTCCATTTAGGATTTCAGCATTGTTACAGACGGTGAGTCTTTGAGATGTCAGGACAGTGTACTGGAGATCAACAAATACAAGGTGTGTAAATGGCTTGAAAAGTACGTCAACCAGAATACAAGTTAGGCCTATTAATCATTATGTCATCTCATCTGTCCACAGGCACAATATGAAGCAATACTGAAGGAACAACAAATACTGAGAGATGGCATAGATACCAACAAATACTATGCCAAGGAATTTAAACAACGAGCTAATGAAAAGAAAGCGTTATGTGAAGAAGAAAACAAGAAACGTACTAAGACAACTCAGAAAGAGAAGGTCCGTAAAAAAAAAGACCAGACACTCATTATATCCCTTAATTTAAAGACTTTTTTTTTTAAATGTAGTAATGGGCTCCTCGGTGCAGGAGAAATGCAGAGCTGTACAGGAGGAGAACACCAAGCTGCAGAAAGAGATCCTGAAAATAAAGGAGGAGATGCAAAGCCTGGACTGTAAAAACAGCAGTCTGAAAAAGCAAACTGAGGTTTAAAAGTGTCAAAACAAATATATTCACGCTTATTTTAGCTGCAACCATTGAACTGAATGGACTGTGTGGCTCTACAGTATATCAGTACAATATGTTGAAATACTTTTTAGTAATAATCTAAACATCTTCTATATTTCCCCTTATATTCATGTAAATTTGAACCTAAAGTTGCAATGTTTATTTTAAATAAAATCCATGGACACTTTAACAACTGTGAGATTATTAACGAGGCTCTACATTGACTCCACAGATCTCTACAGCGGTGCCTGAGAGGAAGGTTGTGTTTCGGGGAAATACAAAAGAGGGAGCCCATGCTGTGGGTTTTGATGTGAATCCCCGAATAGTTTATCCGATGGAGGGTGGAACAGCACTGATCACCTTCGAGGAAAAGGATGGTATGTAATTGTCCAAACTAGCATCATCATCACAATAAAAAACAATGTCAAATGTGCTTAAAGGTTCACCTGTGATAAAGAACAATTCGTCATCATTTACTCACGCCATTCCAAACCTGTATGACTTTTTTTCTTCTGCGGAACACATTAATATATTTTAAGGAGTTTTTCTACTGTTTAACATACAATAAAAGGCTTTTGCGTCAGAAACAACACTGACTGCAAAGCACTGCATTGTTATTTGAAGGCCCACTCTTAACTTATTTTAACACATGGCCACTCTTTGTTTCTTTAAATTAATAACTGAAAGTAACTAAAATAATTATAATTAAAATTAAAAAATTAAATAATGTAGTTTAAGTTTTAGTGATCCAATTCTTTTCAACCAATGCAGTCTTCTAGTTGTTCGTAATGTACTAGAAAAAGATTTTTTTATTTTTATATGAATATATTTTTTACTAAAGATTTTACCTAATAAACACAAAAAAATACATTATGTATAGTATATACATTATAAAAATGGCATCCCTTTTTAAGATTTTATAGATTTTTCACATAATTGTCTTGCTTTAGAAATCACACTTTTATAATTAGGCTTCCTCGTATATTCAGGTTTTCTAAGTCTGTAGAAACCTTGGCTCTTCAAAGAAGAAAAATAAATTGTTGAGGGATTAAAATAAAATAATAAAAGTATCTTTTTATTTGTTTAAATTGTTTTTAATATTATGTCTTAAGTAATTTTATCTTGAGACCCCGTTGGAAGTTTGCCGAGTACCCCTAGTGGGTCTGGGCCGTTATGAACCACTGCCATAGATTTTCACACTGAGACACTAAAATGACTATAACACATACCAATGCCTCTTGTGGCTTATTGCTTTAACCTCTCTTCAAATCTCTTCTGATACTACATCTTAGTGGCTCAGAAAATATTGAACCTAAAGGATCATTCGGTGCAACTTGGAGACTGTACCATCAATGTGCAGGCAAAACGCATTCAATTCCTGGTACCCAGCAATGTTGAGGTAATGGAGACAAGCTCACTTCCATTTACCAACATGGATTGTTTAATTTGGATTGCACTGTGTTCCTATGGACTAATGTGATATAAAACTACGCTCTCTCTCCATCTGTTAGATGGAAACACAGGTGTGCCCACGCAGAATCCTAGTCTCCAACCTGCCAAAGGAAGAACCCGAGGAGAGAGTACTAGACAAACTGGACATCCATTTCTCTAGGAAGAGGAATGGAGGTGGCGAGGTGGAGGACACTGACATGCTACATGACTCTGGCACTGTGGTCATTACCTTTGTAGATGATAATAGTAAGTGAACTAAATTTATTCAGTGCATGATGCTTGAGGTGTTTTTTTTTAATTGTTAATTTCTATTTGTCTTCAGTTGCCAAAGGTCTCTCCGACAAACAAGATCATGATGTAGACTTTGGTAAGAAGAAGCACAAGGTGAAGGTCACTCCATTCCTCAATGGTGAAATTTCACAGATGAAGGTAAGAAGAATCGAGTATGTCGCAATAATTTCAACTGTTAATGCTGCATAGTTTATGTAAGCTGACTGTTGCTCCCTTTCAGATCTGTGACTCAGAGTGCATGCGCACAGTGCTGCTGACGGGCATCCCTGACATCATGGACAAAGATAACTTGCAGGACAACCTGGAGATCCACTTCCAGAAGACGGCCAATGGTGGCGGAGAGGTGGAAGGCATCGTCTACAACTCTCTAGGCCACACCACCCTGGCTTTGTTTGATGAGGACAGCCAGAGCGAAAGCTAAAAACCTCTACAGCCCAGAGATCCAATGCTGCCTTTAGGCTAGCGCACACTAGACGATTTTAAGGCCGATTTTAAGCCCGATTTGCATCCCCGGACAATCTGTATCAATTATTGTATCAATAATTGATACAGAACGCGCGCCGGGAGAGCCAGCTGACAACGTTTTTCTTCTCTAGTCACGTTTGAGCTCGCAAGTGTTCGTGAGATCACGTGTCACTGGGAAATCGTTCCTACAATTATCAAGTTTGTGGTCTCGCGATCTGGTCGAATCATCTAGTGTGCATTCAGAGGATTATAAGGCTAAAAATCGGTTGAACTGTCTTCATGTCTGTGGTCTCCCACGGTTTTAAAATCGTCTAGTGTGTCCCAGGCCTTAGACGACAAAATAGATCCTTAATTCATAATGGACTTTATTGAACTCCTAATTTGGATCCATCTTGCAAAAAGTTATATAGTATGTATCTCTTCACCTCTTATTTACTGTAATCTTTACTTCTCTTTACCTATTATAGTAATATACTTAATTAATGGATACAAATTTTTAGTTTTTACAATTCTTAGTTGTATTTCTTGTCTTTTTAAGATGAAAGATGCAATCAAATTGGGGCATGGTTTATGAGTTAATCGGAATCACAGGAAAGATTTATCAAAATGTTATCTGTACCCAAAAACAATAAAATCTTAAAAAGTCTTTAATAAATGTACCAAAACTATAGTGTGATGTTTGCAACACACAAATAGGAATCTCACGAAACCAAATCTAAAAGAAAAAAAGAAAATATATTCTGCACAATGAAAATGAAGGTTATTTGTATTTTAAGACAATATATATATATATATACACACACACACACACACATTTTTTTTCTTTTTTATGACTTTACGTGACACTTAAGCATATTTGCTTGGCTATTTTGATTTTTAGTTTTTAGTCAGTCATGCTCACTGGTGAATAATTATCCTATTGTTGTTATTACAGTAATGAGAAATGTTGGCAGATATGGGCTTAATTGTCATGAAAAAAATTGAACTACACAAAATTCCTAATGGCACTACAAATTTTACTTTTTCTTATACTTTTTGATTTCTTTTAGGATAAAATATGAACCAGACATGTTTTTGGTTATTGAAATTTAGCAAATAATGTGTGCAAGAAGTTCCTAAACATTTTACAAATATTAACGTTGACCAAAATGTATGCTTAACCAAGCAAACTAGACTTTCAGAAACAAATATTTGTAGGCGGTTGAAGCCAAAAGCATATTACGTATTTGGAAGCAAATGGAATTTATTTGTAAAAATACAGTAACAGAAAAAGTAAAGACATCTACTCCGAAAAACCCTTCAAACAAAACAAACCAATCATTAGTGCAGCAGTAGCAGCCCCCTCAGCACAGTAAAAATGTGAGATACAGCCAACAAAGAGAAAGTAACAGCCAACTCCATCAGGCACTTAGACACAAGAGATGTGGAGTGCATGGATTAAAATACAAGTTTAAAATGAAGAAAAAATGGGGGTTTCACAATGAACGATAGGCATTCTAACCATTAAAACAACACCAGAAATAAGTTAATACCGATACATTCTACATGTTCAGTGAACATCATATATTTCACAAACACATGTACATACAGGTCACATTGTTGTTCTGGATATCATATAGATAACACACACAGAGCCTAGTAATGATCACCTACGATTATCACATCAAGACTTTTCTAGTGGTCTCAAGAGCTGCTATGTCTGGGCCGTCCTGAAGCCCTTTGTGCGTGCATAAGTTCAGCTCATGGTTTTAAATCATCTAAATCTGGCGATAACACATTGTCTTTGTCCTTCGCTAAACAGACATATACAATCATTTACACTTTCTTTACAAATGTGGACTTAAAAAGACCAATTTAGTGTCTTTAAAAAAAAAACAGAACTGTTTCAATTTATGCAAAATTAATAGCTCTGTCCTCTTGCTAGTAAGGAAGAAAATCGTGACGTCTGTTCTCCTGTTACACAAACAAACAAGCAGCTCAGTGAACGAACATTTACGTTAAAATGATTACATGCTGAAGTCTGAACCTTCTCAGATGTCGAAGTTGAATTTGTAGGAAAATAACATTTTAGGAGACAGCAAAAGATGATGGGTTGATAAAAAAAAGAAAAAAAAAAGTGTACAGATTGGATCAGTAACTATTGCAAGGAGAAAATATTTGCTTGTTGCCTATAGTTGCTTATGGCTTATGACGCTTGAGCTTAGGTTTAAGGACGATCTCTAGTGCTACAAATTGTGCCATATGGATATCCAAGCAAGCATGTAAGGACATTTGGAAAGACTGCATACATTTAATAGGTGGTTTTCGGTTTAGAAAGGTTGTTACTGTAGAATAACACCTGAGATGAGAGGTTTTAGACATGAGACCTGCGTCAGATCAGTTAGATGATCACCGGTGCCCAGTCCCGCTGAATGCGTCCATACTGTACATAGAGAAACAAAGCAGAGGTTTAGACAGTGTAACAATGGAATGAAAGAAAGAAAGAAAAAAATAATTTATTATTAATTCAAGAGCTATTTGAAAAACTTCTCTACCTGGATGTCAGTGAGCTCCTTATGGAATCTCTTGGCAAGGTCCGGTCCGTTCTTCATTGTGGGAATTTGGTAAGTCTAAAAGATTTAAATAAGAAGAACTGTGTTTGCAGTAAATGTACAAATGTTTATTACACTGGCAAGATACTGACAGTGGACATTTGCATTAGAGAAGCATTACCTGTCCTCTGTAGAGCAGACTGCCAACTGGACACACCACGCATGCAGTGCCCGAACCGAACACCTCCAGAATCCGTCCGTCATCTAAAGCGTCTATCAGCTCCTTCATTAAAACCCTGCGCTCTGTCACTTTGAAGTCCCCCTGAAAAAGACACGCAACCCTTACAAACAGTACTATGGCAGAACTATGATACAGGTATGGCAACAGACGTCTTGGTACTTGATATGCAACATGTTACTGAGCAATTTTCATGTTCATATACCATAGTATTTTAATAGTATTACACGGTATTAAAAAGAATGCCATAGTGCTAGAATAGCACATGTCCTTAATGTGTCACTGATATGTCAATTACTTGAATATTATCGGATTGCAATCTAGATAGATATTAATGTTTTAGAGAACACATGAAGGTGAGAGTTGAAAAACTTCCCCCTTTCCATTCTTGTTTCTCACCCATTCTCTAGCAAGGTCCAGCAGCGACTGCCTGGTGACTCCTGGAAGAATGATGCCATCCAGTGGAGGGGTGACCAGTTCTTTCTCTATAAAGATGCAAATGTCAACAAATACATTAAGATGCATTAAACTTTACCACCAGCAGAGGGAGACAATCATTCTTCATGGAAAACCAAATGACTAAATGTCAACATCTTGACAAACTATACAGCAGGCCACACTGCACATGCAGTTGACTTGACTTAACCTTGCTGTTTTGAGAGTGAGAAATGGCCCGGAAGCAATATACACTGTGAATTTTTTTTTTCTTGTCAGGGCTTCCATACCATTTTATTGATTACTTTTTTTATTCCTTCATGATTATCGAATAAGGATTTTTAAAAATCACTCGATAGAGACTACACACACACACAAAAATATTTCTAGACATTTAAATATTGTAGAGAAGAGCACAACTTAAATTTGAACAAATGTTCATGATAGAGATTTCCATAACTTTATTTTATTTATTTTCAAGACATTTCTAGGCTTGCAAATCATGATTGTCTCATATTTCCAAGTGTTTCATGAATGCAGAACCCTGTTAGGTATTTTTACACACAAAAAAGTATGGGTAGTATGCTTTTGTTTTATTCCTAAAACAATATAACATACTGTCTACAGAAAAAAAGAGTTACAACTGGTCCATAATGTGTCAACAAAGGCAATAGTTCACAGAAAAATAACAATTCTGTCATTAATTACTCGCCCTCATGTCGTTCCAAACCTGTAAGTCCTTCATTCATCTTCAGAACACAATTTGTGATGAAATCCGAGAGCTTTCTGACCCTCTATAGAAAACAACACAACTACCACGTTCAAGTCCCAGGAAGGTAAGGACATCATTAAAGGGGTCATATGATGCTCCTAAAAAGAACATTATTTTGTGTATTTGAGACTTTAGTCTTTGCAACTTTACAGATCTTCTTTATGCACCAAGAGCTTGTAACACTCCAAAGAGAAAGGAAAAATTGAAATCGCATCATATGACCCCTTTAAAATAGTCCATGTGACATCAGTGGTTCAACCTTAAGGTCCTTGCGCACTGAATCCGAAATTATCGTCCAAAATTTTCCCACATTAAAAAATAAATACGACCTTGTGTTGTGTCAATCATGTTTGCACACTGCCTCCGAAACTTTCATCCGTAGTAAAAAAAATATTCGGACCAGGTTCGATTTTCTGAGTTTTTACATCCGTAGCAATCATTCTGATAGGAAAAGATGACGAATACGAAAAAACTCATACGAAAATTTCGGACTCAGTGTGCAAGTACCTTACTCTCATGAACGCGGATCGAAGACTGACACGGAAGAATAAATGTATTCTCGTAGCTTCATAAAATTACAGTTGAACCACAGATGTCACATGGACTATTTTAATGATGTCCTTACTACCTTTCTGGGCCTTGAACGTGGTAGTTGCGTTGCTGTCTATTAATTAAAAATATCGTAATATGTGTACTGAAGATGAACTAAGGTCTTACGGGTTTGGAACGACATGAGATTACATTAGTAATTAATGACAGAATTTTCATTTTTAGGTGAACTATCCCTTTAAGTGCCTTTGTTGACATGAATGGGATGAGTTGTGACGATTGTTTCTGTAGACCTGTTGGGACAACAACCGCTGTGGAGTACCCAGTACCTGCTCGACTCGTCATATCCATAAACAGAGAGAAGTAGCTCTGGCTAAAATATTTTTCCACAAGCCGCATGCAGTTTTGTTTATTAACCACTAAAGTGCCAACAGTTACAATGTGTACATTTAAATAAGCACATTTTGGGTACTAAAGCACACGTCTGCACCTACAAACATATGTTTGGACTGCAGAAGCTTTTAATTCAGTTTCTAGAAGCTATTCTCCCTTTCTCACCTCCTTTCTCTGTGGTCCAGTAGATGAAGAGATTCATGGTTCCAACCTCCGTGATCTCCTCATTCTCTCCGTACAGCCAAAGGACCTGCTGGCATTTCTGCTTGGCCGCCTCACTCTGAACAGCAATTGTCGGCCCGTAGTTACTAAGAAACATAAAACCACAATCACAAGAGATGCATTGAGGCCACAAAACATTATTACATTGAAACTAAATATTTTAAAGTAAGAGGTTTATAACGAACAGTGAAAGCACTGCAAATCATAATATAAACAGATAATCTGAACACTCAGGACAGCAGCGCCAGCTTTGCTGAAGAGGACCTTAAATGCATAATGGGACAGTAAGATAAGGACTGATATTAGATGTGAGTGGGGACAGATACAGCACATAAACAGAAAACCAGAGCTGCATTAGTGTAAAGGGTCAGCAGACTGCAAAGAATTTACAATGATCCCAAGTTGCAACTTGTACATGACCAGCCTACTGCAGCCTGTGCAAGCTAATGTATTTCTCTGAATAACCTGAATGTGAAAAGCTACTTCAAAACTCACAAGTGGCATGACAATAGTGGA